CACTACTCTCACAAATAAACAATCACCCACAAGGACAAGGGGGCAGAGGGAACACTTATACACTGACTAATGAGGGGATAAGAACCAGGTGTGTGTAATTGACAAGACAAGACAAATGGAATGATGAGATATGTAGCGGCAGTGGCTAGTAAGCCGGTGATGACGAACGCTGAAGCCTGCCCGAACAAGGAGGGGAGGCAGCCTCGGCGGAAGTCATGACACAAGCACTATGGATGCAAGGAATGACCATCCATGAGATCATCAAAATTATAGTTTTAACATTTGACATTGTTTACAAACATTGGAGTAAAACAAGCTTATATTTTGGGTTCTGATGGGGTACGACGAAGCTGAACGAAGCTCACAAGACAATAAGTTATATTCTTCAAGAATCAATGGCTATATATCATTAATTTAACAGTCAAGAAATTGATGTAGCAGCAACTGCAGATTGCAGGTGCGGATGATGCAGATGCAGGAATAGCATATAACAGATGTACAGTGAGGGAAAAAAGTATTTGATCCCCTGCTGATTTTGTAAGTTTGGCCACTGACGAAGAAATGATCAGTCTATAATTTTAATGGTAGGTTTATTTGAACAGTGAGAGACAGAATAACAACAACAAAATCCAGAAAAACGCATGTCAAAAATGTTATAAATTGATTAGCATTTTAATGAGGGAAATAAGTATTTGACCCCTCTGCAAAACATGACTTAGTACTTGGTGGAAAAACCCTTGTTGGCAATCACAGAGGTCAGAGATTTCTTGTAGTTGGCCACCAGGTTTGCACACATCTCAGGAGGGATTTTGTCCCACTCCTCTTTGCAGATATTCTCCAAGTCATTAAGGTTTCGAGGCTGACGTTTGGCAACTCAAACCTTCAGGTCCCTCCACAGATTTTCTATGGGATAGGCAGCATTCCTCCTCCTCCAAACACGGCGAGTTGAGTTGATGCCAAAGAGCTCCATTTTGGTCTCATCTGACCACAACACTTTCACCCAGTTCTCCTCTGAATCATTGAGATGTTCATTGGCAAACTTCAGACGGGCATGTATATGTGCTTTCTTGAGCAGGGGGACCTTGCGGGCGCTGCAGGATTTCAGTCCTTCACGGCGTAGTGTGTTACCAATTGTTTTCTTGGTGACTATGGTCCCAGCTGCCTTGAGATCATTGACAAGATCCTCCCGTGTAGTTCTGGGCTGATTCCTCACCGTTCTCATGATCATTGCAACTCCACGAGGTGAGATCTTGCATGGAGCCCCAGGCCAAGGGAGATTGACAGTTATTTTGTGTTTCTTCCATTTGCGAATAATCGCACCAACTGTTGTCACCTTCTCACCAAGCTGCTTGGCGATGGTCTTGTAGCCCATTCCAGCCTTGTGTAGGTCTACAATCTTGTCCCTGACATCCTTGGAGAGCTCTTTGGTCTTTAGAATCTGATTGATTGATTGCTTCTGTGGACAGGTGTCTTTTATACAGGTAACAAGCTGAGATTGGGAGCACTCCCTTTAAGAGTGTGCTCCTAATCTCAGCTCGTTACCTCTATAAAAGACACCTGGGAGCTAGAAATCTTTCTGATTGAGAGGGGATCAAATACTTATTTCCCTCATTAAAATGCAAATCAATTTATAACATTTTTGACATGTGTTTTTCTGGATTTTTATGTTGTTATTCTGTCTCTCACTGTTCAAATAAACCTACCATTAAAATTATAGACTGATCATTTCTTTGTCAGTGGGCAAACGTACAAAATCAGCAGGGGATCAAATACTTTTTTTCCCTCACTGTACATATCAAGTTTTTTTTGAAGAAAAAGGTAATGACATGAACAATCACTAATTATAATTCTTCCACCATATCAGTCATATAGTAAATGCACCAACCTGACACATTTTGAGAATTTAGCCTGATGAACTGAAGGCTAATAAACTGCATTTCTTTGGCACTGCAACAGTATTACTAATTGTTTAATAATGTTTACTCGACTACCGCCAGAGTTGCACTTCCATTCTTACTGAGATAAGTGGATACAGTGGGGAAAAAAAGTATTTAGTCAGCCACCAATTGTGCAAGTTCTCCCACTTTAAAAGATGAGAGAGGCCTGTAATTTTCATCATAGGTACACGTCAACTATGACAGACAAAATGAGAAAAAATATCCAGAAAATCACATTGTAGGATTTTTAATGAATTTATTTGGTGGAAAATAAGTATGGTGGAAAATTATGGTGGAAAATAAGTATTTGGTCAATAACAAAAGTTTCTCAATACTTTGTTATATACCCTTTGCTGGCAATGACACAGGTCAAATGTTTTCTGTAAGTCTTCACAAGGTTTTCACACACTGTTGCTGGTATTTTGGCCCATTCCTCCATGCAGATCTCCTCTAGAGCAGTGATGTTTTGGGACTTTCAACTCCCTCCAAAGATTTTCTATGGGGTTGAGATCTGGAGACTGGCTAGGCCACTCCAGGACCTTGAAATGCTTCCTTCGTTGCCCGGGCGGTGTGTTTGGGATCATTGTCATGCTGAAAGACCCAGCCACGTTTCATCTTCAATGCCCTTGCTGATGGAAGGTTTTCACTCAAAATCTCACGATACATGGCCCCATTCATTCTTTCCTTTACACGGATCAGTTGTCCTGGTCCCTTTGCAGAAAAACAGCCCCAAAGCATGATGTTTCCACCCCCATGCTTCACAGTAGGTATGGTGTTCTTTGGATGCAACTCAGCATTCTTTGTCCTCCAAACACGACGAGTTGAGTTTTTACCAAAAAGTTATATTTTGGTTTCATCTGACCATATGACATTCTCCCAATCCTCTTCTGGATCATCCAAATGCACTCTAGCAAACTTCAGACAGGCCTGGACATGTACTGGCTTAAGCAGGGGGACACGTCCGCACTGCAGGATTTGAGTCCCTGGCGGTGTAGTGTGTTACTGATGGTAGGCTTTGTTACCTTGGTCCCAGCTCTCTGCAGGTCATTCACTAGGTCCCCCCGTGTGGTTCTGGGATTTTTGCTCACCGTTCTTGTGATCATTTTGACCCCACGGGGTGAGATTTTGCGTGGAGCCCCAGATCGAGGGAGATTATCAGTGGTCTTGTATGTCTTCCATTTCCTAATAATTGCTCCCACAGTTGATTTCTTCAAACCAAGCTGCTTACCTATTGCAGATTCAGTCTTCCCAGCCTGGTGCAGGTCTACAATTTTGTTTCTGGTGTCCTTTGACAGCTCTTTGGTCTTGGCCATAGTGGAGTTTGGAGTGTGACTGTTTGAGGTTGTGGACAGGTGTCTTTTATACTGATAACAAGTTCAAACAGGTGCCATTAATACAGGTAACGAGTGGAGGACAGAGGAGCATCTTAAAGAAGAAGTTACAGGTCTGTGAGAGCCAGAAATCTTGCTTGTTTGTAGGTGACCAAATACTTATTTTCCACCATAATTTGCAAATAAATTCATTAAAAATCCTACAATGTGATTTTCTGGATTTTTTTTCTCAATTTGTCTGTCATAGTTGACGTGTACCTATGATGAAAATTACAGGCCTCTCTCATCTTTTTAAGTGGGAGAACTTGCACAGTTGGTGGCTGACTAAATACTTTTTTCCCCCACTGTAACCAGCATGACTACCACAGCATTCTGCAGCGATACACCATCCCATCTGGTTCGCGCTTAGTGGGACTATCATTTGTTTTTTAACAGGACAATGACCCAAAACACACCTCCAGGCTGTGTAAGGGCTATTTGACCAAGAAGGAGAGTGATGGAGTGCTGCATCAGATGACCTGGCCTCCACAATTACCCGACCTCAACCCAATTGAGATGGTTTGGGATGAGTTGGACCGCAGAGTGAAGGAAAAGCAGGCAACAAGTGCTCAGCATTTGTGGGAACTCCTTCAAGACTGTTGAAAATGTAGAAAATTGTAAAAATAAAGAAAAACCCTTGAATGATTAGGTGTGTCCAAACTTTTGACTGGTACTGTATATATATATATGTTGTTGTTTTTTACTGACAAATAAAATATATCAATCCAAACTGTGCAGCGGCCATTTCATGAATGGAAAGAGACATCTGATACAAAACATCAAAAGGTTTAATGACATTCGGAGATTGTCAAGCCAAGCCTTCGATACTGGGTAGGGAGGGATGAATTTTCTGTTTGTCAAGATTGACATAGTCTATTTATTGTGGTGTTGAAAACGCAAACCCATGATATGGAAGCGCCGAAGTCGGTATGCTTTGTTTATTGGTTGTGTGTTGCATTGGCACAAAAACCTGTTGGTGAAATTTTTATTTTGAATATATTTTATATAATTATAAATATGGCATCAAAATGTAGAAAATCTGATTTCCCCTAGCTGATCATTGTCTGCAGCCGGCTCTGATCGTAGTGTAGGCCTAATGAGACATGCAGGAAGAGTGAGTGAGTCCGACTCTGTGGTGATTGGTGAACCCTCAACCTTTTGGCCAGTAGCCCTGCGTGGCATCAACTGAGCCATAAAAACTTGATGAAGTGGCAGTCAATATCCATGTTTATAACTACAGGGTCCCTACATTTATTGTTATTTGTGGTCGTAAACATTAGTGTGCTATTTTATTTTTTTACAGTACAAGGGGGTCATGTAAAAATATTTGTAACATTGGGAAGGTGGGTGCATTGATTTATTTTTTGTCCAGCCCCCCAGTAAATTTCGAACTCCCCTTTAGCATGCAGTTCCCCCTGTATTGTTAAGATGGAAGACTTTTGTTGTGAAGCTTTTTTCAGGGAAATCTGACGACCCGGAAGTGATGATGTAAGGCTAAGCACTACCAGCTAAACTAAAGGCTAAAGCTAGCAACACACGGGTAAATTGCATTGGTTTCGCCGGACTGATAAGATATATACTATCAATAACATAGTGGTGGAGGGGCATAGTTCTCTCTGTGCGCTGTGATTATGTAGTTAGCGATGAATGAAACAGGAGTTCAATCACTACTGTCAGCTTCGCTGGACATAAGATGGCGACAGAGCTGAGACGCTTTTGGAAGCTTGGGTCATTGAGCCGTATCTGCACCTTCTCCCTTCTATTTCTGTTTGTGCATTGTCATACGTGTAAACATCAAGTCCCATCTCCGTCGGAGGTGAGTGTCGTTTATCGCTTGCTTACCAGTTATTTTCTCGTAAGGAGCGGTGCATAGCCGATGTACTTTGCGTGGGGCGCTCTAGCCATATCAGTAGGGGCGTTTCAGGTCGACTGTTAGAAAGTACAGAGTAGGGGGGATGGGTATTTTGGGGGCTGGGCCCTGTTGAAAATGTTACATTACACAAAGGTTTACTTTTTAATTTTGTTATTCAACATTTAATTGAAAGCATGCGATTACATTTATTATTTACACGAAGAGCGCTGTATCAAAATCATGCTAATCGTAACACACTTCAAATTGTTTCTACATGATAATACAGTACTACCGCTACTTTGCTTTCAACAATATTTATTCTTGTAGGTTGTCCATAAAGTATACCTGAAGTCTGAAAGATTAACCAAAAGAAGTTCTGATTAACAATTGAAGATAAAGATAATTTATGATTCAAGTGTGGATAAGTAAGTTAATTTTGTCTCCTACTATAGAATAGTCAGAGTTTGTAATATAAGTGTGTGCCAGGCTTTACTGTAAGCTGGTTATTGCAAATACACGTTGTCTTCTTCCAAAGGTTAACTTCAGACAAAAGAAGACTTGTGAAGGTATGTTTGTGTGAATGAGGTCAGAGATATTTGCCATTGACATACAGGACAATATGTCTATTGTCATTATCACATGATAATGTTACCGTTGTGAAGTTTTGTTGCTGCAGGCTAATATTATGTTGTGTATCCTTTTTAGCTGGTTTAATAAACACTGCCTTTTCGTTTTCTACAGGATAAACTTTTTCCACAAGCAATTGCTTATCTACAGAAGGCATTTCAGGTTCGCCGGCAAGCAGGACCTGTATTACTCAGCAGGTAAAGTTCTCACCTCCCATCACCCTCCAACACTGTCCAATAACATGATCACCCTCCAACACAGTCCATTAACATGAACACCCTCCAACACAGTCCAATAACATGTTATCATTTCAAGAAGACAATACAATAGTTTCATTTTTGTAATTAAAAATTCAGTTGGGGTAGTGAGTGTAGCATTTAAAAATGTTTCGAGATAATCTATATTATTCAATAGGCCTTAAACATTGCATGCTTCTCATATATTGAATATCAAAAGAGCACACTAAGCTAAGCTATGTCATTAATACAAGGATCGATCAGTCAGAGGTTCAGTTCATGCATCTTTCTCTTGCATTATAACGTTCTGTTCAGACAATGTGTGACCAATCAGTATCTGAGGAAGAAAGATGACCCTCACCGCTACTGCCAGGGAGCATGTGCAGACATCACTAAGTGTGGACCCGTCATTGTTCCTGAGGATCATCTGCAGGTCAGTCTACGCCACTGAAATTGGAACATGAGGTGTAGTGACGAAGTAGGTTGGTTGATAGACTAGTTATTAGTAATACCTAGTCTCAACTAACCTACTTAGTCAGTGTTGGTCACTGTTATTGGTCGCTCTTATTACCATGTGATTTCTGGTGATGATTTGTTATTGATGAAAAATGGCACGTACATCGTCATTATAGGTGCCAGTCCTTCCACTGTTCCTCATGTCTTTTGTCCTCATACATTGCCCACTACTATCCACCACCCATAGGAACAATGTACCACCAGGCACCTGTGGACCATTCTGGATTTATGGGATTAGCTAATGCAGCCTATGCCAGTTCAGTGAAATGTGGATTATGATAGGGCTTAGGTTGGAGTGCCTATTGTCCCACTGTGAGGTTGTGTGCAGAACTGAGGGTGGCCTCACTGACCTGACAGCCTCAAACAAGATTAGCCCTTCCGGTTCAAGGGTTGTTTAAGGGAGGTGTTGATTTAAACCACAGTCCAGGAGCTTTTGTCTTCTAAACTACCTCTATTGCTTGTTACTCACCTTTTTAAGCTTCGCCTTTTTAACCAGTGATGTTATTGTTCTTTTAGACATCTATTTAATCACTTTAAATACAGTATTATTTGACTTGGCCTGAATACATTAATTGTTAACCTCCATGTTTACATGCTCAACTCTGTTTCCTCTATATGTTATCTACTCACCTGGCTTGCTACCATTGCCTACTGCTGCTATCTTCAACAGGTCTCTCTTGTAAAAGAGATTATCTCAATGAGACTAACCAAGATTAAATGGAATGAACTGAAACTGTCCTCGACACGCATATGATCCAACTGTCTGCGTGGGATTTGAATTCCAGCCACACCGGTCTTCACACTATCTTCCTCTGTCTCTCCCTGCTCATTCCATTTAGTCCTAGCAATAAAACTGGAAAAATACTTATATATATATTACCAGAAAAAAAAGCTAAACTGGTAGGCCTATAGAAAGGTTGGCTGATGGTGGTCTTGAGTACTGTAGTTTGATGATATTACTGTATTATGTCCATTGTGGAATTTCCAGAAATGCAAGGTACAGTATTTCAGGGCTCACTTGTAGATTCAGGACTCACCTGTAAAAGTGACATGGGTCTCAATGTGACTTTCCTGTTTAAATAAAGGTTAAATAAATAAAATAAAAATGCAATTATGTGTATGTGATTTCCAGCAATGCAAGGTGTGCAGCGAGACAGGGAGGTCATGTGGCTCAGCAGGGCCTCCGGACGGGAAGGGGGTGGAGGGGGCTGATGTTGTCCTCTACGTCAGCGGGGTGACTACAGAACGCTGTGGACAGGAGAATATTGTGGCCTATGCTGCATACTGTCAACTGGAGTCTGAGCTGGACAGGTAAGCCTCCAACTCTGTACATTCTTTAAACATACCTGGTTAACCCTTTGAATATATTTTAGAGGCTTATGATGGCATTTTAGGCTATTCCAGATTACCGTAGCACGTGATTGGGTCTGGTAGGTGACATGGTAGACCCTGGCCCGTGAATAGGTCTTTTAACCCAATGATATAAAAATAATGTCAGTTTCACTTTCTTTACCTTATCAGACCCATTGCTGGATATGCCAATCTGTGCCCCAATATGATATCCACCCAACCTCAGGAGTTTGAGGGCATGCTTTCAACCGTCAAACACGAAATCATACATGCCCTGGTGAGTGCATTGGAAACAATCTACTTTCTATTCCTATTGGGGTGAAGCTAGTCATGAATGACCTAAATAAATGCCATAATGAATTAAACATGTCCAACACAGATTTCATTATTGATTGAGTAATGTGATTTTATTATTTTGTTTAACGTGTGTCCAACAGGGTTTTTCAGCAGGGCTGTTTGCATTTTATCACGATGATGATGGCAAGCCATTGACACCTCGGTTTGCAAGTGGACTACCAGCATTCAACGAGAGGTACACTACCATTCAAAAGTTTGGGGTCACTTAGAAATGTCCTTGTTTTCCAAAGAAAAGCAATTTTTTTGTCCATTAAAATAACATCAAATTGATCAGAAATACAGTGTAGACATTGTTAATGTTGTAAATGGCTATTGTAGCTGGAAACAGCTGATAAAAAAAATAAAATGAAATATCTACATAGGCGTACAGAGGCCCATTATCCGCAACCATCAGTCCTGTGTTCCAATGGCTCGTTGTGTTTGCTAATCCAAGTTTATCATTTTAAAATGCTCATTGATCATTAGAAAACCCTTTTGCAATTATGTTAGCGCAGCTGAAAACTGTTGTGCTGATTAAAGAAGCAATAAAACTGGCCTTCTTGAGACTAGTTGAGTATCTGGATCAAAATGGCCAGAAACAAATAACTTTCTTCAGAAACTCATCAGTCTATTCTTGTTCTGAGAAATGAAGGCTATTCCATGCGAGAAATTGCCAAGAAACTGAAGATCTCATACAACGCTGTGCACTACTCCCTTCAAAGAACAGCGCAAACTGGCTCTAACTAGAATAGAAAAACCTAGCAAGAGGACAAATACATTAGTGTCTAGTTTGAGAAACAGGCGCCTCACAGGTCCTCAACTTGCAGCTTCATTAAATAGTACCCTGCAAAACACCAGTCTCAACATCAACAGTGAAGAGGCGACTCCGGGATGCTGACCTTCTGGGCAGAGTTGCAAAGAAAAAGCCATATCTCAGACTGGCCAATAAAAATAAAAGATTAAGATGGGCAAAAGAACACAGACACTGGACAGAGGAAGATTGGGGGAAAAAAGTGTTATGGACAGACGAGTCGAAGTTTGAGGCGTTCGGATCACAAAGAAGAACATTTGTGAGACGCAGACCAAATGAAAAGATACTGGAGGAGGGCTTGATGCCATCTGTCAAGCATGGTGGAGGCAATGCGATGGTCTGGGGGGTGCTTTGGTGGTGGTAAAGTGGGAGATTTGTACAGGGTAAAAGGGATCTTGAAGAAGGAAGGCTATCACTCCATTTTGCAACGCCATGCCATACCCTGTGGACGGCGCTTGATTGGAGCCAATTTCCTCCTACAACAGGACAATGACCCAAAGCACAGCTCCAAACTATGCAATAATTATTTAGGGAAGAAGCAGTCAACTGGTATTCTGTCTATAATGGAGTGGCCAGCACAGTCACCGGATCTCAACCCTATTGAGCTGTTGTGGGAGCAGCTTGACCGTATGGTACGTAAGAAGTGCCCATCAAGCCAATCCAACTTGTGGGAGGTGCTTCAGGAAGCATGGGGTGAAATCTCTTCAGATTACCTCAACAAATTGACAACTAGAATGCCAAAGGTCTGTAAGGCTGTAATTGCTGCAAATAGAGGATTCTTTGACGAAAGCAAAGTTTGAAGGACACAATTATTATTTCTATAAAAAATCATTTCTAACCTTGTCAATGACTACATTTCCTATGCATTTTGCTATATTTCCTATTCAAACTCATTTAATGTATGTTTTCATGGAAAACAAATAAATGTCTAAGTGACCCCAAACTTTTGAACGGTAGTGTATGTATACTTGATCATTATCCTCCACTGTCAGGCTGTGTATTTTATAATGGCGCCTTTTGTAATAAGCACTAGGCCAAGACGATAATATAATACTTTTTCTGTTGTGCATTGTATGTTTCTAAAATCATATTTCAGTTGATGTTTGAGAACTTTTGCTTTCTATTATAGTTTAGGCCTGTATCAGTGGAGTGATGCAGTGATACGTAAAGTGACTCGATTATGGGACATCCGTGGTGGCATGATGGTCCGACATGAAGTGCATCTTCTAGTGACACCACGTGTTGTGGTAAAAATCCTGCTTTTAAGCTCCTCCCTATTTAATCATGTATTTCAATGCATTCGTCATTGGTAGATATGTCCCTTTGTAGAGGCTATGCTGTGTTGTGCTGTGCCATTCTCTGCTGTGCTGTTCTGTGCGGCGTTATGCTATTGTGTTATGTTGTACTGCACTGCCCTGCGTTGTCCTGCCCTGTCCTGTAATGTGGTTAATGTTTGCGTCCTGTACCCCTGCATGTGTTTGCAGGAAGAGGCGAGGAGACACTTTGGCTGTCCCATCCTGGAGGGTATGGAGCTGGAGAACCAGGGAGGGATGGGTACTGAGCTGAACCACTGGGAGAAGAGGCTACTAGAGGTAACAGAAGGGCTGCAGTTTGCATTGTACTGTGCTTAGTTTTTACTGTTATGTGAAATGATTCCTTTCATTACAGTATGTGTAGCCTACATTTGTGTTATAGCTTTACTTAGCCTACTAGAACTGATATAGACCTAACCACACCATATCCCTGTAGCTCAGTTGGTAGAGCATGGCGCTTGCAGCGCCAGGGTTGTGGGTTCAATTCCCACGTGGGACCTGTATGGAAAAAAGTATTAAAATGTATGCACTCACTACTGTAAGTCTCTCTGGATAAGAGCGTCTGCTAAATGACTGAAATGTAAATGTAATACCCTTTCACTCAGTTTCATAGTCTGTATAGCTATTGTGAATTCTGCATTTATTTTTTAGCAATAGTTCATTACTCATCAGCACATACACTGAGTGTACAAAGCATTAGGAACACCTGCCTTTTCCAAGACATAGACTGACCAGGTGAATCACAGTGAATGCTATGATCCCTTATTGATGTCACCTGTTAAATCCACTTCAATCAGTGTAGATGAAGGGGAGGAGACAGTTTAAGGAAGGATTTTAAAGCCCTGAGACAATTGAGACATGGATTGTGTGTGTGTTCCATTCAGAGGGTGAATGAGCAAGACAAAATTATTTAATTACCTTTGAACGGGGTATGGTAGTAGGTGCCAGGCGCACCGGTTTGAGTGTGTCAAGAACTGCAACTATGCTAGGTTTTTCACGCTTAACAGTGTGTATCAAGAATGGTCCACCACCAAAGGACATCCAGCCAACTTGGCACAACTGTGGGAAGCATTAGAGTCAACATGGGCCAGCATCCCTGTGGAATGCTTGACACCTTGTAGAGTCCATGCCCCGAGGAATTGAGGCTGTTCTGAGGGCAAAGGGGGGTGCAACTCAATATTATGAAGGTATTCCTAATGTTTTGTACACTCAGTGTATACGCTCATATAGGTTCATTATTAATCTATCTATGATAATAAGATGATTCTCCTGTTTGTATTGATAACAGAACGAAGCAATGACTGGATCTCACACCCAGAACAGAGTGTTTTCTAGGCTCACCTTGGCCATCATGGAAGACACAGGGTAGGGTTTTCTGACCGTTATATGGAATACAAGAAAATAATGACTTTGACCTTTTATGTCATTTAAAGCGCTTTGACTATCAAACAACTTGAAGGCTCTTTTTTTCTTGGGAATGGGTGTCCATTGGTGTGATTGAAGGTACTTGACTTTGACATAAGCTTTGTATTGAAGTTCAAGAGTTTACCTGACTTGATGTACAATGTTTCCCATCATCTATGTCTTCTCTAGTTGGTACAGAGCCAACTACAGCATGGCAGAGAGGCTGGACTGGGGCAAGGGCCTGGGCTGTGACTTTGTGATGAAGAGCTGTAAGTTCTGGATTGAAAGGCAACGTCAGAGGTAAGGGGGTATCTAATCAGAGTTTAGGTTTTTTACTATACACAACTGACTGAAACATCTAAACGTCTAGGCATATGGCATGCCCCTAAACGAATTTAAAGTATTACTAGCCGACACACCGTGTCTCATATGGGGCGTTCCATTTGATTTCAATCACTTTTTGACCGCACCCAATTGATATGAACGAAACTTTCTATACATATTTGCCCATGGTAGAAGTGGTCAGAAAATAACTTTTTGGACCTGAATGCCAAAACATTTAGGAGATGGAGGTGCTCAAAGTTTACCCATTTTGCATACCCCACCATACCACCAGACTTCAATTTCTTCATCACTAGAAAAGATAAACGGTTGATATTGATATAATTTAAAAGCTTATAAACAGGGTTGTGAATCTATTTGCTAATTTGTTTTACCTTTTAACGTCAATTATCTAAAAAGGCATGAACTCAGATGTTTTATGTTTTTGCATATGTTGTAGCTTAGACCCTATTTTACATAATCTGAGGTGTTTGTGTTGTGCCTGCCATCGGTTGAGACACAGTATGCTTTTGAATACAGGGTGGGTGTCATGTTTTGGCTGATAAATGTACTAAAATGGGAAAACTTTCAAATGGTAACACAAAGATGGTTGGGGGCCCACACATCAGAGAATGTTGACTCGAATGGAAATATCAGTTGTTTTAAATTATACTGTCAATCTTCCATAGGAAACCTATTGAAATCATATAAATATACACTCACCTGCCAGTTTTAGGTACGCCAATCTAGTACGGCACAGCGTGAATTCTTTGGGTATTGGATTATATATTTATTTTTATTTATTTTTTCGTCATATCCAATTACGATCTTGCCTCATCGCTGCAACTCCCCAACGGGCTCGGGAGAGGCGAAGGTCGAGTCATGCGTCCTCCGAAACATGACCTGCCAAACCGCGCTCCTTAACACCCGCCCGCTTAACCCGGAAGCCAGCCGCACCAATGTGTCGGAGGAAACACTGTTCAACTGACGACCGAAATCAGCCTGCAGGCGCCCAGCCCGCCACAAGGAGTCGCTAGAGTGCGATAAGCCAAGTAAAGCCCCGCCCTGGCCAAACCCTCCCCTAACCCGGACAACGCTGGGCCAATTGTGCGCCGCCCTATGGGACGGCCGGTTGTGACATAGCCTGGGATCGAACCCGGGTCTCTAGTGACGCCTCAAGCACTGCGATGCAGTGCCTTAGACCGCTGCGCCACTCTGGGAGGCCAAGGGGGGATTGGATTCTACAAGGTGTCGGAAACATTCCACAGGGATGTTGGTCCATGCTGTCACGATGGCATCACGCAGTTGTTGCAGATTGGACGGCGGTACATTCATGCTGAGAACGACCCATTCCATCTCATCCCAAAGATGCGCTATTGGGTTTGGTCAGCAACAATGTTCAGATAAATTATAAAATTATTATAAAATTAGATACGCTGTGGCATTCAATCGTTGCTCAATTGGTATCAAAGGACCTAACGTGTACTAGGAAAACATTCCCCACAACAGTACACCACCGCCACCAGCCTGTCCCGTTGACATCAGGTAGGATGGGGCCATGGACTCATGCTGTTTACGCCAAATCCTGACTTTGCCATCAGCATGACGCAACAGGAACTGGGTGACGTTTTTCCACTCCTCAATTGTCCAGTGTTGGTGATCGCGTGCCCACTGGAGACGCTTCTTCTTATTTTTAGCTGATAACCCGGCGTGATCGTCTGCTGCAATAGCCCATTCGTGACAAGGATCAACGAGAGATGCCGTTCTTCACACCACTGTTGTACTGCGCCATTATTTGTTTGTGGCCCGCCTGTTACCTTGCATTATTCTTGCCATTCTCCTTCGACCTCTCTCATCAACGAGCTGTTTTTGGCCACAGCACTGCCGCTGACTGGATGCTTTTTTGTTTGTCTCACCATTCTCGGTAAACGCTAGACACCGTCGTGCTTGAAAAGTCCAGGAGGGCGGCCGTTTCTTAGGGTATCTAATAAACTGCTATCAATGTTGGGTGGACCGGTGGGCATCTTTGTGGTAGTAATTGGAAGTAAAAATTTCAATTCAATTAAAATGTCAATGATGTACCAGCTAAATTGCAGTGGTCTGAAGGGATATGTCTATTCAATGACTTCTGTTTCTATGATTGAAATGACACCCACCCTGTATTCGAGAGAATTCTGTGTCTCAACCGATGTCGGGCACAACACAAACACCTCAGATTATTTAAAATAGCATCTAAGCTACAATGTAGTTTACGCATTTTTTGATAATTGATGTTAAAGGTTAAAATATTACATTTGTAATTTTTTTAAATCAAGAAATATAAAATAGTTTGACAACCCTGTTTTTATAAGCTTTTAAATGATATCAAACTCAACCGTTTATCTTTTCCAGTGATAAAGATGTCTCATGGCAGGGTGGGGAATGCAAAATGGATCAACTTTGAACACATCTGTCTCCTAAATGTTTTTGCATTCAGCTCCCCTGAAGTCCCTTTCTGACCACTTCTACCATGGGCAAATATGTATGGAAAGTTTTGTTCCAATCAAAAGGCATGCGGTCAAAAAGTGACTGAAATCAAATGGAACAACCCATATGTCAACATTTCTGTGAACACAAACATCAAGCCATTTGAAACTCTATTAGAAATTCACTGTAACAACAATAAAACAACAATAAAAACATTTTAAATGAGAAACTGCGGCTCAACCTGACCCAACCCTCTGAGTTATTGTTTTTCAGTCGTAAAGTGGTGACCCCTTACTGTGACACAGTGCGGGCCACACCCCTCCAGCTCACCTGCAGGCAGGACCAGCTGGCTGTGGCCGTCTGCAACCTGCAGAAGTACCCTCAGGATCTGCTCCTGGACTACCAGGTAAAATGCCATCCTTCATAGTCACAAAGCCTAGAAATCAAGGCTATGACAATACACCCAGTGATAACAACATGACGCGAGCAAGCGTCTGTGTCAGAAACCTATTGGACCATCACAGAGGATTAGAAGACAAACAAAAATATTACAAGTCTATGACAAGGATTTACTACTACAAGCACTTGCACCCAAGCAAAGTTTGTACCTGTTAGACAATAAAGGCAACAAAAACAAATTTGAAATGTAAGATGTTGTTGACCAATTGTGTCCAGCATAGTGTAAAGTACACCACATACAGTACATCTTTTCCACTTCCTCTCTGACAGTACTTTGACCATATCCCTGAAGTCTCTGTGATGGATCTGGCCTCCTACGGTGGAGCTGTGGAGATCGCTGACTACTGTCCCTTCAGCCAGGAATTCAGCTGGCACCTGAGTGGAGAGTACCAACGCAACTCCTACTGCAGGGTCCAGGAGAACCAGCCCGGTAATATCCCTTCCTTTCTTGCGTTGTTGTTGCCTTTTGGTGCCTCAGACCACTGGGCCTTGGTTCATATACACTGAGGCTGTTGACACTTGAAGGTTTGCAAAATTCCGGAAACATTCCCAGGTTTCCCAGAAATCCCAGTTGGAGAATTTTGTTTCAAGAAAGTTTCCAGAATTTTGCAACCCTACTTACTAGTAGGCTACCTGACACACTGTTTCCAGATTCGTGGAGGAACTACGGAGCTGAGCAGTATGGTCCAGACTCAGTGTGTTTGTACCAGAAGACTGCCTTCATCATGGAGCAGTGTACCAGGCGCATGACCTACCCTGACTGGGGAAGTGGCTGCTATAAGGTAATGCAGAATAAGTAACAATCTTTAGATAGCTCTGTAATCTATGTTTTGTCACTTCATGCAAGTCTTCATAATAACGTTTACCACCTTTAAGTCTCATGCTAATATCATACAGTGAGGGAAAAAAGTATTTGATCCCCTGCTGATTTTGTACGTTTGCCCACTGACAAAGAAATGATCAGTCTATAATTTTAATGGTAGGTTTATTTGAACAGTGAGAGACAGAATAACACAAAAGTAATCCAGAAAAACACATGTCAAAAATGTTATAAATTGATTTGCATTTTAATAAGGGAAATAAGTATTTGACCCCCTCTCAATCAGAAAGATTTCTGGCTCCCAGGTGTCTTTTATACAGGTAACGAGCTGAGATTAGGAGCACACTCTTAAAGGGAGCAGTGCCGGACGTGTCCCCCTGCTTAAGCCAGTACATGTCCAGGCCCGTCTGAAGTTTGCTAGAGTGCATTTGGATGATCCAGAAGAGGATTGGGAGAATGTCATATGGTCAGATGAAACCAAAATATAACTTTTTGGTAAAAACTCAACTCGTCGTGTTTGGAGGACAAAGAATGCTGAGTTGCATCCAAAGAACACCATACCTACTGTGAAGCATGGGGGTGGAAACATCATGCTTTGGGGCTGTTTTTCTGCAAAGGGACCAGGACGACTGATCCGTGTAAAGGAAAGAATGAATGGGGCCATGTATCGTGAGATTTTGAGTGAAAACCTCCTTCCATCAGCAAGGGCATTGAAGATGAAACGTGGCTGGGTCTTTCAGCATGACAATGATCCCAAACACACCGCCCGGGCAACGAAGGAGTGGCTTCGAAAGAAGCATTTCAAGGTCCTGGAGTGGCCTAGCCAGTCTCCAGATCTCAACCCCATAGAAAATCTTTGGAGGGAGTTGAAAGTCCGAGTTGCCCAGCGACAGCCCCAAAACATCACTGCTCTAGAGGAGATCTGCATGGAGGAATGGGCCAAAATACCAGCAACAGTGTGTGAAAACCTTGTGAAGACTTACAGAAAACGTTTGACCTGTGTCATTGCCAACAAAGGGTATATAACAAAGTATTGAGAAACTTTTGTTATTGACCAAATACTTATTTTCCACCATACTTATTTTCCACCAAATAAATTCATTAAAAATCCTACAATGTGATTTTCTGGATTTTTTTTCTCATTTAGTCTGTCATAGTTGACGTGTACCTATGATGAAAATTACAGGCCTCTCTCATCTTTTAAAGTGGGAGAACTTGCACAATTGGTGGCTGACTAAATACTTTTTTTCCCCACTGTATCCACTTATCTCAGTAAGAATGGAAGTGCAACTCTGGCGGTATTCGAGTAAACATTATTAAACAATTAGTAATACTGTTGCAGTGCCAAAGAAATTCAGTTTATTAGCCTTCAGTTCATCAGGCTAAATTCTCAAAATGTGTCAGGTTGGTGCATTTACTATATGACTGATATGGTGGAAGAATTATAATTAGTGATTGTTCATGTCATTACCTTTTTCTTCAAAAAAACCTTGATATGTACAGTGAGGGAAAAAATTATTTGATCCCCTGCTGATTTTGTACGTTTGCCCACTGACAAAGAAATGATCAGTCTATAATTTTAATGGTAGGTTTATTTGAACAGTGAGAGACAGAATAACAACGTAAAAATCCAGAAAAACACATGTCAAAAATGTTATAAATTGATTTACATTTTAATGAGGGAAATAAGTATTTGATCCCCTCTCAATCAGAAAGATTTCTAGCTCCCAGGTGTCTTTTTATAGAGGTAACGAGCTGAGATTAGGAGCACACTCTTAAAGGGAGTGCTCCTAATCTCAGCTTGTTACCTGTATAAAAGACACCTGTCCACAGAAGCAATCAATCAATCAATCAGATTCCAAACTCTCCACCATGGCCAAGACCAAAGAGCTCTCCAAGGATGTCAGGGACAAGATTGTAGACCTACACAAGGCTGGAATGGGCTACAAGACCATCGCCAAGCAGCTTGGTGAGAAGGTGACAACAGTTGGTGCGATTATTCGCAAATGGAAGAAACACAAAAGAACTGTCAATCTCCCTCGGCCTGGGGCTCCATGCAGGATCTCACCTCGTGGAGTTGCAATGATCATGAGAACGGTGAGGAATCAGCCCAGATCTACACGGGAGGATCTTGTCAATGATCTCAAGGCAGCTGGGACCATAGTCACCAAGAAAACAATTGGTAACACACTACGCCGTGAAGGACTGAAATCCTGCAGCGCCGGCAAGGTCCCCCTGCTCAAGAAAGCACATATACATGCCCGTCTGAAGTTTGCCAATGAACATCTGAATGATTCAGAGGAGAACTGGGTGAAAGTGTTGTGGTCAGATGAGACAGAAATTGAGCTCTTTGGCATCAACTCAACTCGCCGTGTTTGGAGGAGGAGGAATGCTGCCTATGACCCCAAGAACACCATCCCCACCGTCAAACATGGAGGTGGAAACATTATGCTTTGGGGGTGTTTTTCTGCTAAGGGGACAGGACAACTTCACTGCATCAAAGGGACCATGGACGGGGCCATGTACCGTCAAATCTTGGGTGAGAACCTCCTTCCCTCAGCCAAGGCATTGAAAATGGGTCGTGGATGGGTATTCCAGCATGACAATGACCCAAAACACACGGCCAAGGCAACAAAGGAGTGGCTCAAGAAGAAGCACATTAAGGTCCTGGAGTGGCCTAGCCAGTCTCCAGACCTTAATCCCATAGAAAATCTGTGGAGGGAGCTGAAGGTTTGAGTTGCCAAACGTCAGCCTCGAAACCTTAATGACTTGGAGAAGATCTGCAAAGAGGAGTGGGACAAAAGCCCTCCTGAGATGTGTGCAAACCTGGTGGCCAACTACAAGATACGTCTGACCTCTGTGATTGCCAACAAGGGTTTTGCCACCAAGTACTAAGTCATGTTTTGCAGAGGGGTCAAAACTTATTTCCCTCATTAAAATGCAAATCAATTTATAAAATTTTTGACATGCGTTTTTCTGGATTTCTTTGTTGTTATTCTGTCTCTCACTGTTCAAATAAACCTACCATTAAAATTATAGACTGATCATTTCTTTGTCAGTGGGCAAACGTACAAAATCAGCAGGGGATCAAATACTTTTTTTCCTCACTGTATGATCTTACAGAATCACAAATTCAGTTCAACATAATTTTTGTGTTGTGGGTTAAGGTAACCCTATTATAGATGTGTGACAGGCAGATATTTACATTTTGAAGTGACCCATTCAAAAAAACAAAATACTTAAATGTTATATTGTGGTTGTTTCCAGATGTCTTGCTCTACTCAGGGTCTGACAGTGTGGGTGCAGGACACTGCATACCAGTGTGTGCGTACGGGTCAGCTGCTGAGCGTCAGCGTGCGTATTAATGACTGGGTCTACAATGGGGTTCTCGTCTGTCCTGCCTGCTCAGACTTCTGTAGCGCCTGCCCTCTACCACAACAGCCCCCCCCCCTCAATACCACCAGTAGAGTTCCTATTGGTGAGTTCCCCTGCCTGTCTTTCCTACCATGGCCTTTCCACATACATGCACACACATAGGCGCACACTCACATTATATAACTAGATACATTATATAGACCTCTTGGTACTAAGGAAGTGTTTTGCCTCTCTTCCAGACCCTTGCTCCAGTTCCTCCAGCTTAGTGGTACCTCTGTGGCTTCAACTGTTCAACTTCATCCCTCTGCTAGCTGAATTTATCCTGTGTGTGTGGAACTGACTGACTAGCTGGTTGACTGGCAGACTGTTTGACTGGTTGACTGGCTGGCTGGCTGGCTGGCTGGCTGACTAACTAACTGTAAGGTTCTCTCTCTGGGGCTGCGGCCCAAATGGAACCCTATTCCTTAAATAGTGCACTACTTTAGATGGGCCTATGGCCATAGGCCCTGGCCAAAAGTAGTGCTCTATATAGGGAATAGGGTGCCATCTGGGATGCAATCTGGCAGCCCGTTTTGTAGTCGACCATACTTGGCCATCCCACAACCTCAGGCATCCCATTCCAGGGTTCCACAGTCCAGTTGGAAAGGATTTGATCCTTGGAAAATCATGAAGGAAAAGTCAGGAAAGTTGTTTAGGAATCAATCACATTAACCCCATCGAAGTCAGGGAAATTTGTGATACTTTTGAACAAATGTTTCGTAAAACAAAATGCAGTGCAAAATATGTATTTTAAATATGTATTGTAAATGTAAATGCCTGAAAGAACGATTTGAACCACAATACCTTATCTGTCCAGTTTAGAAACATTTCTACAACATAGAACTTGTTTTAATGTTACAGTTTTGGAACAGACAAGAAAGACCGTGGCCCATTGTGAATGTTCATGAAATTGCTAGATACTTTCAGAAAAGGGGAAAAATAAGCCATTGATTGTACTTCTCTTTTTGTCAAACTAACGAATGAGGTGCCAGCAAGCTGTAAGCAAAATCAGAAGAAGCCATACCCCAAGGGTAGATAGATGATCACGGTGAGGTGCCGGTGCTACTTTATGAATGACCCCCTATTCTAACACCAAAACATACTATATTCCCCTCAGGAATGTCATGCAAGGTTTGTAACATTCTTAGACCTCATATGAAACATCTACATTTTCAGTTAGCATTTTTATAACAAGTTCTCAGATGATTCAACGCCACTCAATGTAACAATGCAGTATTACCATTTTTGACAGCAGATTGTTGTTAGCGTGTAGTTGTTTCCTGGTGAAAGTTCTATATCTGGCAAACTGGGAAGGTGCTCTAAAAGTTTGATTGTCTTAGTTAGGCCCTTAAAATATCAATTTTGGTGGAATATTAGATGCTTTTGATGATTTTGTAGATGCATGTGTGAAGATAAAGGTGTAGCTGAAATGAAAATGGCACCAAGACTATTTCACAGTGCAGTAAAGTAACAGGCAGGATAGTAGTGATGATGCTTGATGTAGATTGTAGTTAAAACGTTTTTTTATGATTTTCATAATTAATGGACTAATATATTATTTAAAAAATAACATTTTACTGGTGAGGGAGGGAACAAGACTTTATATATTAATAATTATAATTGTTTATGTTTGATGCCTTTAAATCCCCTATAACGAGCCAGAGATGATGTGGAATTCACCTTGATACTTACTGTACGTATTGTGTGTCTGTTTATGTGGGAAGATGAATTGGGAACAGCCATAATGTACACCTGCTGAAGTGAATAGGCACTTCCCAGTTTCAGATACTCTTTTAGCTTCAAAGTTGGTCAGGGCATTATTCCATAGTACCTATAATGGAATAGATTTAGTAATGCAATTATATAGTACTTACACACAGTTATACAGTAGGACTTACCGCTGTATATTCAATTTAAAGTTAAAGGGATAAAAAGCATCAAGTACTATATGATGGTTATATGCCTCTAGGATTCCACTGTAATGTAGTGTGGACATATTTTACTTGAGTGACTTGTTATTTTGTTTTGTCTAATTTCAGTTGACATGGTGTGCTTTTACCATATTTTAATGTTCCTCTGGCTATTTTTTAAATGCACTGGACAATACAACTGATCTTGATTAGTGAAGTAACATCAGTTAATTTTGCTATTTAACTTGAATATTGTACGGTGTAGGGTATGGCTTTTATAAATATGGCACAATTAGCAACATTTAAATTGTCCCTCTTCTCTAAGCACTCCACTGAATATTGAGTAATTCATTTGAGCATACACTTGGTATGAAACAATTTGGCAACCTTACATTTTTGGTTTATGTTATGTGCCTGAGGTTGGATTTTAACATGCATTGCAAATGGCATTAACAAAACAATCACAACCGATTACAAGATGGCAGGACACTAAAGACTAATAATGCCATGTCTATCTGAAGTGTAGTTTAACATGGCCTAAAATCAAACGCGTCGAACAGTACTCAGTACGGTGTACACAGTAGTATGTAAATCCCTTATTGCACTACAGTTAAAGAAGTGCCACTGACATGCCATTTTATATTGTTTATGGTCCTATGTAGTAACTTGTTATTGTTAGGTGAGTAATAGTGTTATGGTTTTTATGCTACTTCTGTTTCTGAAGATATGAAAATGTGATTTCAATAACTGTGATAAACAAATGAGCAGCTACTGATTACTTTTTAGTTTTCACTTTTTTGCACACTGGTTTAAAATATATTAATTATTTTCCTATATAATAGGCCTAGATCTTTGGAAACTTGTTGTTTTTAAGTTTCATTATGGATCCAGTTGGATTTGTATTGTGGGTCATTTTGCAGCTGCTTGTAGAGGTTTTGTTTTCTGTATGGTTGCCAACAGGGTCTACATCAATTATGGGAACATTTATATTTCATCATGAGAGGGAACAAAACTGTAATGTGATGAGGTGAATTGAGACCACAAAATGGCTGAGAGTGTGATTGTTGGTCTATCTGTTAATTGAAATTACTGTACCAGAATGCTGCCTAATGGGATAGTTAAATATTTTTTATGGAAAAGACAAGTTAGACTATTCACCTTTTGTCATTTGTACCTGTGCAATTGTCTGCATTAGAATGTCTTGTTTGTTTTTTAGTTATATTCCAGGGCTACAAGTGAAGGATGGCAGTGCTTTTATTTGTGATAATTCTTTGTTGTACGAGAGTCCATTGTGTAGTGTGTGTGTGTGGAAAATGTGTTGATTTAAAAAATAGTGTGTTTTACAGTATCAAGGAAGCAGGCAATACGTGTTGTACAGTAGGATTTCTTTTTCTTACAGCTTACTGGTGGCAATCTTCTGATGGTCATTGTGAGTGAATATGAAAAGAATATAAGGACATTTCCATGTTATTTTTCTCAACATGAAGAAACATATGACGTTTGTTTGAAACAGTACAAAAATGAAGAACATGCATATACCTGAAAACTTTGCTTAATGTACAGAGACCAAAGCTATTTCTATGCAGAAATCTAGGGTTTTCTATTGTACATAAATTAAAAATGGCTTTAAAAAATCCTGTTAAGTTAACTCATCAAATATACACTGAGTGTACAACACATTAGGAACACCTTCCTGATATTGAGTTGCACCCCTTTTTGCCCTCAACAGCCTCAATTCGTCGAATGGACTACAAGGTGTCTAAAGTGTTCGACTGGGATGCTGGCCCATGTTGACTCCAATGCTTCCCACAGTTGTGTCAAGTTGGCTGGAATTTCCTTTGGGTGGTGGACCATTCTTGATACACATGGGAAACTGTTGGGTGTGAAAAACCCAGCAGTGTTGCAGTTCTTGACACTCAAACCGGTGCGCCTGGCACATACTACCATACCCCGTTCAAAGGCACTTAAATATTTTGTCTTGCCCATTCACCCTCTGAATGGAACACACACACAATCCATGTCTCAATTGTCTCGAGGCTTAAAAATCCTTCTTTAACCTGTCTCCTCCCCTTCATCTACACCGATTTTGAAGTGGATTTAACAGGTGACATCATTAAGGGATCACAGCTTTCACCTGGTTAGTCTGTCATGGAAAGAGCATGTGTTTGTACACTGTGTATTTTACTTGTAGTTTTAGGTGTAGTTTCTTATTTCTCATTAAAAGGGCTGTTTTTTCACTTGAATCAACAAAACTATTAAAACAATCAGAATAAATGATGATGAACTTGAATGTATTTTCTTTCAGTACATCTGTTCATGTCATTATTAGTTCTTGATACACGATACTGTGTAATATTGCTGCTCTATGGGGCCGGGATTCAATCCGATCACACTTTGTCGACAATGTTCCCGCCTTTGCGGAGACCGCATTCACAGTAAATGCTGCATATGTTGGCTCAATCGGAAATTACCTTTAAATGGCACATACTGACGAAGCGCAATCAGATTGAATCCTGGCCTAAATCTGCGCTCCTTACTGAAATACTGTGACACGTGTATGTCAACCTTTTAAAATAAGGGTTCCGGAACAACAAACCAATAAAGCTGCTTGACAGTGGAATGTTTGATGTTGTTCTTTTTCATGTGTGTTTTTATGACAGTTTTGTGGTGTGTTTTTTCCCCCCTCACAAATAGGAAGAAAATAAAAGAGACCAGATACATAAACTATTTTATAAGAAAAATAGGTAACATGTTGTGGAACCAGTTCACAATTTTGTTTTTATCTGTGGTTGTTCATCAGAAGTCCAATAACATCATTCTTTAGTCTTCTGCATAGTTCATTAATATCATACTTAGACATTTCTCCATATAGTAAGGCTTTGGTCTTACTCTGTGCATCCCCAAACTTGACCATTCTCAAGGGAAGAGGGTGAACCTGGGTTGTGTTCATTAGGGCACACCGTGGCAACGGAAATAAAAAAAATAGACTTGTCCAATAAGAAAGGCTAAGAGAGTACTTTCACATTTCACTCTGTTTTCCTTCCATTTGTGCCAATTGAACATGACCCAGCTCATGATTCAAAGAGAATGTCAGTGTCATGCCTCTCACAATTAGACAGAGCTTCTTTCCCAGACATTTATTGGTTCTCAGAGAAAAATCAATTGATCTTTGTAATGGCTTAATCAAATCTACACCAACTCCTGTTAATTAATTGAGTCCGCATGGTTAGTGTGATGAAAGATTTTAACATTACCTTTGAAGCAAGAGAGTCAGTGAATGATTGAATTGGTGTAGATCTGAGTCTCATACCAGGCTGTCTGGGAGAGCAGTCGCTCTTACTGTGAGTTCTCTGATGTACAGTACCAGTCAAAAGTTTGGACACACCTACTCATTCCAGGGTTTTTCTTTATTTTTACTATTTTCTACATTGTAGAATAATAGTGAAGACATCAAAACTATGAAATAACACATATGGAATCATGTAGTAACCAATTTTTTTTTAAACAAATCAAAATATATTTTATATTTGAGATTCTTCAAAGTAGCCACACTTTGCCTTGATGACAGCTTTGCACACTCTTGGCATTCTCTCAACCAGCTTCATGAGGTAGTCACCTGGAATGCATTTCAATTAACAGGTGTGCCTTGTTACATTTACATTGTTAAAAGTTCATTTGTGGAATTTCTTACCTTCTTAATGCGTTTGAGCCAATCAGTTGTGTTGTGACAAGGTAGGGGTGGTATACAGAAGATAGCCCTATTTGGTAAAAGACCATGTCCATATCATGGCAAGATAAGCAAAGAGAAACGACAGTCCATCATTACTTTAAGACATGAAAGTCAGTCAATCCAGAACATTTCAAGAACTTTGAAAGTTTCTTCAAGTGCAGTCGCAAAAACCATCAAGCGCTATAATCAGGCCTTCATGGTCGAATTGCTGCAAAGAAACCACTACTAAAGGACACCAATAAGAAGAAGAGAATTGCTTGGGCCAAGAAACACGAGCAATGGACATTAGACCGGTGGAAATCTGTCCTTTGGTCTGATGAGTCCAAATTTGAGATTTTTGGTTCCAACCCCGTGACTTTGTGAGACACAGAGTAGGTGAACAGATGATCTCCGCATGTGTGGTTCCCACCGTGAGGCATGGAGGAGGAGGTGTTATGGTGTGGGGGTGCTTTGCTGGTGACACTGTCTGTGATTTATTTAGAATTCAAGGCACACTTAACCAGCATGGCTACTACAGCATTCTGCAGTGATTCGGATCCCATCTGGTTTGCGCTTAGTGGGACTATCATTTGTTTTTCAACAGGACAATGACCCAACACACCTCCAGGCTGTGTAAGGGCTATTTGACCAAGAAGGAGAGTGATGGAGTGCTGCATCAGATGACCTGGCCTCCACAATCAACCGATCTCAACCCAATTGAGATGGTTTGGGATGAGAGTGAAGGAAAAGCAGCCAACAAGTGCTCAGCATATGTGGGAACTCCTTCAAGACTGTTGGAAAAGCATTCCAGGTGAAGCTGGTTGAGAGAATGCCAAGAGTGTGCAACGCTGTCATCAAGGCAAAGGGTGGCTACATTGGAAAAATCTCAAATATATTTTGATTTGTTTAACACTTTTTTGGTTACTACATGATTCCATATGTGTTATTTCATAGTTTTGATGTCTTCGCTATTATTCTACAATGTAGAAAATATTACAAATAAAGAAAAACCCTGGAATGAGTAGGTGTGTCCAAACTTTTGACTGGTACTGTATATAAAGACAGATCATGCCCTCCTCTTAATAATGCTCAGACCAGATCAGATTTTAATTAATTAAACAAATAAACGATGTGTCTTAGTAAACAGATGAAGGCAGCAAGTACTTCACATGGTGGGAAAAACAAGTCTTGACAATCAATGCAGTTGTTTGCAATAGCTATAAACGGATCTAAAAGTATCCTTAGAAAGTACTTGTGTACAGCTACCAGTTCAAATTATAATTAAAAGCTCCTTGGTTCTCGTTTATCTTAAAAATGGCATTTCTCCCTGCTAGCTTGTGTGTTGTGGTCTCTAGCCTATATAACAAAACATTCACAATTTGCAGTCAGAGCAGCTTGTGGTTAATCAGAATGAAACCCTTAGAAAAATGCAAACCTCTCAGCTCTGTGCTAGCTGGTTAAAAGTAGTGCACTACAGTATGTAGGAAATAGGGTGCCATTTAGGACACAACCAGGGGAGATTAGAACCACACCACTGTTTGAGGCTACATACTGTGAGAAGGCAATGGAAAGCTCATTTGAAAGAATAAATGATAATTAATCATAAGTAATCATTCTTGGAAAGTAAAGTAAATTATCTCCAATAGGAGCAAGGACCAATTTAAATAGCTGGTACACCAATGAAGGTTGTCAAAACTTAGTGCTATCTATACTGTAGCGAATAATAAACATTTGTATGTCCCAAATGGCACCCTATTCCCTGTATAATGCAGAGCCATAGGAATCTGGTCAAAAGCAGTGCACTCTGTAGGGAATAGGGTGCCATTTTGAATGCAAATTAGTGTTTTTCTGTCATGAATCTTGTTCTGGAGGCAGCTCTGCAGAGTGGTTACTAGCTGGCACAGTCACAAAGTCATAAAATCTGATTTTAAACCTAACCACACTGCTAACCCTAATGCCTAACCCTAACCTTAAATTAAGGCCAAAAAGCAAATTTTTCTTTTCATGAATTTTTTCAATAATAGCCAATTTTTTTCTTTGCAGCTGGCCTATCTAAAAGGAAATAGCTCCGTTCTGCCTCAAGGACAAGACTCATGAAAATAAACTTCAACCTGCATTTAGGACGAATCCATGTCATCATTCACTACAGGATGTATGTACTTAAGATTTTGAAACTAATCTGCTTTTTGAGTTATTGGTAAAATTGACATGTTACAGTGTGATAGTGACGTTGGGATAATGATTTGTGGTCTGCTGGTTAGCGCTGTTCCCTGAATCCTGTACACACAACTTTCCAAGGGGCAGAAATAATATCTCTTCAGTGGCAAAAGTTCATAAGTGCATTCATAAGACACTTCATAAAGGCTATATTAAAAATCAATCCGGAGACCAGCTCCTTCAAATGATACAATCTATCATACAAAAATGTGTCTCTTTTCCTCTTTGTTCGTAGGGTAGAGTGCCTTCAATCTATCATACAAAAATGTGTCTCTTTTTGGTGATCGAGTTTAAGTCCTCCTTATAATATCTCACCTATCTTCCCAGGGATGAGGGTCCTCTCTGTGTCTGTTTCAGGGGCCAGAGTGTCCACATCACAGCCGGTAGAGTCAGGGGAGGTGTCAAAGGGAGGACACTCCTGGCTGTTGTTGACAGCGTCTAACCCCCCCTGCTCCATCTCCTCTTCTAGACTTCCAAAGCGCTCCAACACACAGTGGGCTGTGAGCCTGGCCTCTGGGTCATGGTCCCAACACTCAGTGATGGTGGCACATAGCAGATTCATCCCCTGCAGTAGAGAAGAGCAAGACCAGGAAGGTTTGATTATTGACAACCAGGGTTGGGTTCATTTCCATTTCTATTTAGTTAATACAGGAAGTAAACGGAAAATGTATATTTACTTCTATCGGTTTACTTCCTGTATTGGCTGAATTTGGAATATTTTTTATTTTTTTTATTTCACCTTTATTTAACCAGGTAAACCAGTTGAGAACAAGTTCTCATTTACAACTGCGACCTGGCCAAGATAAAGCAAAGCAGTGCGATAAAAACAACAACACAGAGTTACATATGGGGTAAAACAGAACAAAGTCAAAAATACAACAGAAATACATATATATACAGTGTGTGCAAATGTAGCAAGTTATGGAGGTAAGGCAATAAATAGGCTATAGTGCAAAATAATTACAATTAGTATTAACACTGGAATGATAGATGTGCAAGAGATGATGTGCAAATAGAGATACTGGGGTACAAATGAGCAAAATAAATAACAATATAGGGATGAGGTAGTTGGGCGGGCTAATTTCAGATGGGCTGTGTACAGGTGCAGTGATCGGTAAGGTGCTCTGACAACTGATGCTTAAAGTTAGTGAGGGAGATAAGTGTCTCCAGCTTCAGAGATTTTTGCAATTTGTTCCAGTCATTGGCAGCAGAGAACTGGAAGGAATTGCGGCCAAAGGAGGTGTTGGTTTTGGGGATGACCAGTGAGATATACCTGCTGGAGCGCAGACTACGGGTGGGTGTTGCTATGGTGACCAATGAGCTAAGATAAGGCGGGGATTTGCCTAGCAGTGATTTATAGATGGCCTGGAGCCAGTGGGTTTGGCGACGAATATGTAGTGAGGACCAGCCAACAAGAGCGTACAGGTCACAGTGGTGGGTATTATATGGGGCTTTGGAGACAAAACGGATGGCACTGTGATAGACTACATCCAATTTGCTGAGTAGAGTGTTGGAGGCTATTTTGTAAATGACATCGCCGAAGTCAAGGATCGGTAGGATAGTCAGTTTTACGAGGGCATGTTTGGCAGCATGAGTGAAGGAGGCTTTGTTGCGAAATAGGAAACCGATTCTAGATTTAACTTTGGATTGGAGATTCTTAATGTGAGTCTGGAAGGAGAGTTTACAGTCTAACCAGACACCTAGATATTTGTAGTTGTCCACATACTCTAGGTCAGACCCGTCGAGAGTAGTGATTCTAGTCGGGTGGGCGGGTGCAAGCAGCGTTCGGTTGAAGAGCATGCATTTAGTTTTACTAGTGTTTAAGAGCAGTTGGAGGCTACTGAAGGAGTGTTGAATGGCATTGAAGCTCGTTTGGAGGTTTGTTAACACAGTGTCCAATGAAGGGCCAGATGTATACAAAATGGTGTCGTCTGCGTAGAGGTGGATCTGAGAGTCACCAGCAGCAAGAGCGACGTCATTGATATACACAGAGAAAAGAGTCGGCCCAAGAATTGAACCCTGTGGCACCCCCATAGAGACTGCCATAGGTCCAGACAACAGGCCCTCCGATTTGACACATTGAACTCTATCTGAGAAGTAGTTGGTGAACCAGGCGAGGCAGTCATTTGAGAAACCAAGGCTATTTAGTCTGCCAATAAGAATGCGGTGGTTGACAGAGTCGAAAGCCTTGGCCAGGTCAATGAAAACGGCTGCACAGTACTGTCTATTATCGATCGCGGTTATAATATCGTTTAGGACCTTGAGCGTGGCTGAAGTGCACCCATGACCAGCTCGGAAACCGGATTGCATAGCGGAGAAGGTATAGAATTGACCCCAAACCTGTTCACAACCAGAGCTTTTATTTATGATTGATGTGATTGTTAACTGTTATCATATATTATCATTCAAGCTGGGATTCAATCTGAAACCGTGCTGTAGCACGCTTCACATTTAAACGTAATTTCCAATTGAGCCGACATCTGCAGGGTTTACCTTGAATGTGATCTCAGCGAACACGGTAACATTGCCTTTAAAAGCTGCATTGTCAAGAAGTGCTGACTACCCAGTTCCCTCACCACGCTCTCACGTGCGCATGCCCGCAAACACACAGTTTACCTGATGTGTTTTCCAGCTGGTGGGTATCTCAGGTCTGCCTCTGTCCCTCAGGACCAGGTCCCTCATGCTGTCCACACACGGCTGGTCACACACCTTAGAGCCAAACGGCAGCTCATAACTCTTAACCTCTATGAAAATACAGGAAACACACTGTAAATCCTTTGTTATTTATCATCTATTCTACATTTATAGACTATGCTACTTTCATCAAAGTCTGAATTACGAACATTTACACCTGAATCGGCCCATAAAATAATAGCTTATTGTACCTCCTATGACTTCGCAGCGGGACACCATTTCCCAGAGGACCAGGGCCATGGAGTAGACATCCATCTGTTTAAAGGCCTCCAGATCCTCCAGATTCACTCTGGACTCCAACACCTCAGGGGCCATGTAGCGAGCTGTACCCACCTGGACAACAAGGACAGTGACAGTAGCTTAAACAAATAAACAATACATGAGGGGCCTGCTGATTCATTCTGGTTTTAGCACGGCTTTATAATACCATTTCATTCATATAGCATAATTTTTATACAAGGGGGCATTCAACCAGGACTCTACAATTTAATATGTTGTTATTTTCCATAAGAATTCTCTCAGATACTTGTAGTTATGTCAGAAGGCAGCATGCGTAGGCCTACTGCTTAGTTGCTGTAGCTAGAGTGGAACACTGATACAGGTTCCCTGGGCATTTCACCTGTTCCACCTTACCTGGCCACTGTTGGCAAAGTCATCCACGGTGAGGGAGAGGTCCAGCCTCAGAGCCAGACCAAAGTCACAGAGGGCACACTCTCTACGGCTCTTCACCACGATGTTGCTGCTCTTCAGATCACGGTGGGCCACCGGCACCTTGGGGATCCCACAGGGGGTGGTGTCACTGTGGAGGTGGGCCAATCCTCGAGCCACCGACCCAGCCATAGCACACAGCTCAGCCCAGCTCAACACATGGCCCGCCAGGAAGTCCTAATGAATAATTAATGAATTCATGAATGACACATTTAGTGACCCATCCCGCACAGGATTATTTGACAACATTTTTATGAAATTGTATATACAATAAAATGTACTAGTTATCTTTTCTAGTCTTCTACTGCACCATATAACATTTTACATTTGAGTCATTTAGCAGACGCTCTTTCCAGAGCGACTTACAGTTAGTGAGTGCATACATTTTCATACTGGCCCCCCGTGGGAATCGAACCCACAACCTTGGTGTTGCAAACGCCATGCTCTACCAACTGAGTTACACAACAATATACACTTAATCAACCTAGCAATAAACAAAACAAAGCAAAATCAAACTAACCTGTAGGTTTCCCAGGCCGTGGTAGGCCATGACCAGCCAGTACTGCCTCTGAGGGGAGCCGGAGGGCCCTCGCTCCTCTGCTGTAAGGAATTGAACCACGTTGTCATGCTCCAGGTTGGCGTCAGAGAAGATGGCCCTCTCGTTGCTCCAGGACACATACTCCACAGACGGGAAGATCTTTAAATCAAATAAACATTTATTCCAAATGTTATATCACATGAAAATGACACAAAACACTACAGGAAAAAATGGGGGGGGGGACACGTCACCTTCACTGCCACCGTCTCATACTGAGAACCAGCTGCCTGGTGGTGAAGCCTGGCCCGCCACACCTCAGCAAACCTCCCCTTCCCCACCAAGGCTTCTAGCTGGATGGGTAGCTGCTCTGTGTTGGGGTTGAAGTTATGGGCCCGGACGGGAGACATGTCAGATGTAGCGTCGCTATTGATGGCTGACAGCTTGTAATGGCAGTCCTCACCGCCGGTGATGGCCTCCCCACTTAGTCCCTCTGGGATGTCCAAGGCCTGGTGAATTAATTCAGTATATTTTTAGTTACGTATCAAGTGGCCTTTAGCTACCCATCCCATAAGGGATTACTTTACACCTTTTCACAAACAGTAATGTACTGTAGCTTCCAGTCGGTTATGGCAGTGTCCCAAATGGCACCCTATTCCCTATATAGTGCACTACTTTTGACCAGGGACCTATGGGTTCCGGTCAAAATTAGTGCACTATGTTGTAGGGAATAGGGTGCCATTTGGGACTCTGCCTATATTTTCCCATACCTGGTATATCCACCTACCTGGTAGTGTGTGCGTTTGGGAGCCCAGTCTTTGGGCTGCTTGCCGGGCTGTCTGGTACGGTACAGGTAGAAAGCCATGGTAGCGATGATAGCCACTAAAAAGGGAGGGACCAGGCTGATCACCACCACTGGGATCACATCTTTACTCTTGAGCTTGGAAAAACCTGAGGACACAGTTAAAAACACAGTGAAGACAACATGGAATCGGATCATAGGTTAGTATACATTACTACTACATTTTGTATTTACATTATAAATGTCTATTTTTTCCTCACGTTGCATTTTTTATTAATAGACAATTGTAAATTAATCCCTTTCAAATTAAAATGTTCTGGTTGCACCATGTACTGTACACTGTGCCTGGTTCTAGAGTAAAACAAGTGCTGTTACCATTGGAGCCCTTGTCGAATATAAGCTTATCGTTGCACTCGTGTTCTCCCAGGCAGCCACAAACGAACAGGACCCCATCCTCAGAGGGCTGAGGAGCCATCACACACTCGTTGGAGGAGTAGTTTGACAACATGATGTTCTCCAGGGGCTGCTGGGGCTGGTGGCATAACGTCTTCACACTCATACTCTCATTGTCCTTCCGCCTGGGACACAGATGCAGACACTAACAGACGTTAAAGCTGTACACGCACTCATACACTCACATGCACGCACACACACAAAGTTAATTACTTACATTTCCACAGATCAATCATAAAGTGACTTATCAAACTAGTAAACTGAACTTAATTAGACATTTTCCAATAGGAAAATGTCTCTGGGAAAGCCTATAGTTGACTTTTTACTTTTGTGGTTTTGTTTGGATTGGTTATGTACAGTGGGGAGAACAAGTATTTGATACACTGCCGATTTTGCAGGTTTTCCTACTTACAAAGCATGTAGAGATCTGTAATTTTTATCATAGGTACACTTCAACTGTGAGAGACGGAATCTAAAACAAATATCCAGAAAATCACATTGTATGATTTTTAAGTAATTAATTTGCATTTTATTGCATGACATAAGTATTTGATACATCAGAAAAGCAGAACTTAATATTTGGTACAGAAACCTTTGTTTGCAATTACAGAGATCATACGTTTCCTGTAGGTCTTGACCAGGTTTGCACACACTGCAGCAGGGATTTTGGCCCACTCCTCCATACAGACCTTCTCCAGATCCTTCAGGTTTCGGGGCTGTCGCTGGGCAATACGGACTATCAACTCCCTCCAAAGATTTTCTATTGGGTTCAGGTCTGGAGACTGGCTAGGCCACTCCAGGACCTTGAGATGCTTCTTACGGAGCCACTCCTTAGTTGCCCTGGCTGTGTGTTTCAGGTCGTTGTCATGCTGGAAGACCCAGCCACGACCCATCTTCAATGCTCTTACTGAGGGAAGGAGGTTGTTGGCCAAGATCTCGCGATACATGGCCCCATCCATCCTCCCCTCAATACGGTGCAGTCGTCCTGTCCCCTTTGCAGAAAAGCATCCCCAAAGAATGATGTATCCACCTCCATGCTTCACGGTTGGGATGGTGTTCTTGGGGTTGTACTCATCCTTCTTCTTCCTCCAAACACGGCGAGTGGAGTTTAGACCAAAAAGCTATATTTTTGTCTCATCAGACCACATGACCTTCTTCCATTCCTCCTCTGGATCATCCAGATGGTCATTGGCAAACTTCAGATGGGCCTGGACATGCGCTGGCTTGAGCAGGGGGACCTTGCGTGCGCTGCAGGATTTTAATCCATGACGGCGTAGTGTGTTACTAATGGTTTTCTTTGAGACTGTGGTCCCAGCTCTCTTCAGGTCATTGACCAGGTCCTGCCGTGTAGTTCTGGGCTGATCCTTCACCTTCCTCATGATCATTGATGCCCCACAAGGTGAGATCTTGCATGGAGCCCCAGACCAAGGGTGATTGACCATCATCTTGAACTTCTTCTATTTTCTAATAATTGCGCCAACAGTTGTTGCCTTCTCACCAAGCTGCTTGCCTATTGTCCTGTAGCCCATCACAGCCTTGTGCAGGTCTACAATTGTATCCCTGATGTCCTTACACAGCTCTCTGGTCTTAGCCATTGTGGAGAGGTTGGAGTCTGTTTGATTGAGTGTGTAGACAGGTGTCTTTTATACAGGTAACGAGTTCAAACAGGTGCAGTTAATACAGGTAATGAGTGGAGAACAGGAGGGCTTCTTAAAAACTAACAGGTCTGTGAGAGCCGGAATTCTTACTGGTTGGTAGGTGATCAAATACTTATGTCATGCAATAAAATGCAAATTAATTACTTAAAAATCATACAATGTGATTTTCTGGATTTTTGTTTTAGATTCCGTCTCTCACAGTTGAAGTGTACCTATGATAAATATTACAGACCTCTACATGCTTTGTAAGTAGGAAAACCTGCAAAATCGGCAGTGTATCAAATACTTGTTCTCCCCACTGTATGTATTTGCTAGAGTGGATTGGAAGTTTTTATTTTACAAATGGTCAATCCAATCTGCCTTTGTATCCTGCCAACAACAACACCAGTCTCAATAACACCAGTCTTTTTCAATTTGGAGGGGTCCCAAATGACATGCTCATAGTGCTCTGGTCAAAAGTAGGGCACTATATAGGGAATAGGGTGCCATTTGTGACAAACCCTCTGTCATTCAGAGGTCAGTAGATACTTCCTAGAAACAACCACTCTGGGCTACGAGGGGAGAAACTAAGATCAAGAATGTGTACCAAATGGCACACTATTCCTTATAAAGTGCACTACTTTGGGATCTAAGACCCTCTCTTTATTACTGTAGAGCAAGGATGGGCAACTTTGATGGGAGTGGGGGCCACAAAAAATCGGAACTCATCTTGATGGGCCACAGTGGCTCGCGGGTCTACATTCCGACATCCATACCCACACATGCAGTCAGATCCGGACCTAGCCTTTTTGGGGCCCTAAGTAAAACTTGAATAGGGGGCCCTCCCTGCTGTAGAGGTTTGACCACTAGGGCCCAGCATACCAGAAGGTGAGCAACATTCAAACAAAGCCACAATGAACTTTGTCCTCCTCATCGCAAACATAGCAAATACCCCACTCACCACACTTGCCACTCATCATCATTTCTTAGCAGTATTGTTCATTAAAGAAACTCAATTAATATTTAGGAGCAACATTTGTTTTGTCTGGGATACACATACAAACATTTGGATCAACTATGTATCCTGTTTACTGAGAGTTCAAGAATTATTGTCATGATGAGGATAATTATTGTAGTAGAGGAGCATAACAGTCCAGTGAGCGAGTATATTGGGAAATATATCTTGTCAAAATATATTTGATAGAATGGGAAGCTATCAGCTAAACCAGATCAACATTAGTAGAAAAAAAGTATTTAGTCAGCCACCAATTGTGCAAGTTCTCCCACTTAAAAAGATGAGAGAGGCCTGTAATTTTCATCATAGGTACACGTCAACTATGACAGACAAAATGAGAAAAAAAAATCCATAAAAATCACATTGTAGGATTTTTTAATGAATTTATTTGCAAATTATGGTGGAAAATAAGTATTTGGTCAATAACAAAAGTTTCTCAATACTTTGTTATATACCCTTTGTTGGCAATGACACAGGTCAAACGTTTTCTGTAAGTCTTCACAAGGTTTTCACACACTGTTGCTGGTATTTTGGCCCATTCCTCCATGCAGATCTCCTCTAGAGCAGTGATGTTTTGGGGCTGTCGCTGGGCAACACGGACTTTCAACTCCCTCCAAAGATTTTCTATGGGGTTGAGATCTGGAGACTGGCTAGGCCACTCCAGGACCTTGAAATGCTTCCTTCGTTGCCCGGGCGGTGTGTTTGGGATCATTGTCATGCTGAAAGACCCAGCCACGTTTCATCTTCAATGCCCTTGCTGATGGAAGGAGGTTTTCACTCAAAATCTCACGATACATGGCCCCATTCATTCTTTCCTTTACACGGATCAGTCGTCCTGGTCCCTTTGCAGAAAAACAGCCCCAAAGCATGATGTTTCCACCCCCATGCTTCACAGTAGGTATGGTGTTCTTTGGATGCAACTCAGCATTCTTTGTCCTCCAAACACGACGAGTTGAGTTTTTACCAAATGTTCTATTTTGGTTTCATCTGACCATATGACATTCTCCCAATCCTCTTCTGGATCATCCAAATGCACTCTAGCAAACTTCAGACGGGCCTGGACATGTACTGGCTTAAGCAGGGGGACACGTCTGGCACTGCAGGATTTGAGTCCCTGGCGGCGTAGTGTGTTACTGATGGTAGGCTTTGTTACTTTGGTCCCAGCTCTCTGCAGGTCATTCACTAGGTCCCCCCCGTGTGGTTCTGGGATTTTTGCTCACTGTTCTTGTGTTCATTTTGACCCCACGGGGTGAGATCTTGCGTGGAGCCCCAGATCGAGGGAGATTATCAGTGGTCTTGTATGTCTTCCATTTCCTAATAATTGCTCCCACAGTTGATTTCTTCAAACCAAGCTGCTTACCTATTGCAGATTCAGTCTTCCCAGCCTGGTGCAGGTCTACAATTTTGTTTCTGGTGTCCTTTGACAGCTCTTTGGTCTTGGCCATAGTGGAGTTTGGAGTGTGACTGTTTGAGGTTGTGGACAGGTGTCATTTATACTGATAACAAGTTCAAACAGGTGCCATTAATACAGGTAACGAGTGGAGGACAGAGGAGCCTCTTAAAGAATAAGTTACAGGTCTGTGAGAGCCAGAAATCTTGCTTGTTTGTAGGTGACCAAATACTTATTTTCCACCATAATTTGCAAATAAATTCATTAAAAATCCTACAATGTGATTTTTATGGATTTTTTTTTCTCATTTTGTCTGTCATAGTTGACGTGTACCTATGATGAAAATTACAGGCCTCTCTCATCTTTTTAAGTGGGAGAACATGCACAATTGATGGCTGACTAAATATTTTTTTCCCCCACTGTATGTATATTTGAATGTTTTTGTTGTTTTTAATGTGAGAGCAAGAGCTCTGGTGCGAAAGACTCATTTATTATATTGTATATGGCAAATAAACTTGAACTTGGGTGATAGTCCTTTGATGAAAACCTTCACACTTACCATATTGCAATGCAGATCTCTTCAGTCAGAGTACAGAAGGAGGAGAGGGAACAGTTGGTGTAACACACACTGTCCTCACAGATAGGGCTGGAGTAGTCACACCACTTACACAGGTTGGTACTGATGTGTGTGAAGGAGAGGATGGGAAGACCTGTGGAATACACACACACTAATCAGAACAAATCACTTCTGGATTTGAATAAAATTACTGGCACAAAACAGAACCATAGACTAGGGGCTCGATTCAATGCGTATCGCCAAAGTTTAGCATTTTAGCGCTATTGAAATGTAAAGGTAATTTCTGATTGAGCCGACATAATGCAGCGTTTACACAGGAACATTGCCTTTAAATTTATTTTGTGCTGGAGCATAGAGTTGAAGTCGGAAGTTTACATACACCTTAGCCAAATGCATTTAAACTCAGTTTTTCACAACTCCTGACATTTAATCATAGTAAAATTCCCTGTCTTAGGTCAGTTAGGATCACCACTTTATTTTAAGAATGTGAAATGTCAGAATAATAGTAGAGAGAATTATTTATTTCAGCTTTTATTTATTTAATCACATTCCCAGTGGGTCAGAAGTTTACATACACTCAATTAGTATTTGGTAGCATTGCCTTTAAATTGTTTCACCTGGGTCAAATGTTTTGGGTAGCCTTCAACAAGCTTCCCACAATAAATTGGGTGAATTTTGGTCCATTCCTCCTGACAGAGCTGGTGTAACTGAATCAGGTTTGTAGGCCTCCTTGCTCGCACACACTTTTTCAGTTCTGTCCACACATTTTCTATAGGATTGAGGTCAGGGCTTTGTGATGGCCAATCCAATACCTTGACTTTGTTGTCCATAAGCCATTTTTCCACAACTTTGTAAGTATGCTTGGGGTCATTGTCCATTTGGAAGACCCATTTGCAACCAAGCTTTAACTTCCTGACTGATGTCTTGAGATGTTGCTTCAATATATCCACATAATTTTCCTTCCTCATGATGCCATCTATTTTGTGAAGTGCACCAGTCCCTCCTGCAGCAAAGCACCCCCACAGCATGATGCTGCCACCCCCGTGCTTCACGGTTGGGATGGTGTTCTTCGGATTGCAATCATCCCTCTTTTTCCTCCAAACACAACGATGGTCATTATGGCCAAACAGTTATATTTTTGTTTAATCAGACCAGAGGACATTTCTCAAAAAATTACAATCTTTGTCCCCATGTGCAGTTGCAAACCGTAGTCTGGCTTTTTTATGGCGGTTTTGGAGCAGTGGCTTCTTCCTTGCTGAGCGGCCTTTCAGGTTATGTCAATATAGGACTCGTTTTACTGTGGATATAGATACTTTTGTACCTGTTTCCTACAGCATCTTCACAAGGTCCTTTGCTGTTGTTCTGGGATTGATCTGCACGTTTTGCACCAAAGTACATTCATCTCTAGGAGACAGAACGCGTCTCCTTCCTGAGCTGTATGACGGCTGCGTGGTCCCATGGTGTTTATACTTGCATGCTATTGTTTGTACAGATGAACGTGGTACCGTCAGGCGTTTGGAAATTGCCCCAAGGATGAACCAGACATGTGGAGGTCTACAATTTTATTTCTGAGGTCTTGGCTGATTTCTTTTGATTTTCCCATGACGTCAAGCAAAGAGGCACTTAGTGTGAAGGTAGGCCTTGAAATACATCCACAGGTACACCTCCAATTGACTCAAATTATGTCAATTTGCCTATCAGAAGCTTCTAAAGCCATGACATCATTTTCTGGAATTTTCCAAGCTGTTTAAAGGCACAGTGAACTTAGTGTATGTAAACTTCTGACTCACTGGAATTGTGATACAGTAAATTATAAGTGAAATAATCTGTCTGTAAACAATTGTTGGAAAAATTACTTGTGTCAGGCACAAAGTAGATGTCCTAACAGACTTGCCAAAACTATAGTTTGTTAACAAGAAATGTATGGAGTGATTGAAAAACAAGTTTTAATGACTCCAACCTACAGTAAGTGTATGTAAACTTCCGACTTCAACTGTAGATCTTCAGCATTACGGATTGAATCGAGCCCTTGGCCTATACTTTACATGTGTACTGTATATGGCTCTTAGGACACCAATCTGCCAAATGTGATTTTGTTTAGAGCACACCCTCTTTATTGTGACAAGCTACATTAGATAGGTTGCAGACTCCGCTCTGGTTCATCTAGTGAAGGGGAGGTGTGCATCCCAAATGCTTGCAGCCAAGGACTGGGATAGGATATCCATTAAGTGTGAAGGTCTGCAGACATGGGGGTTGTTTTATTCGGTGCCTCATATGTACTTTGAGGCAGCTTCCAAACCACATGCAATGCATTGTTCAATCCCCACCAGTAGCAGGCCTACCAAGAACAGCTGGAAGCTGAAGCTTCAGTAGCTACTGGTTACTACACTGAACAAAAATATTAAATGCAACATGCAACAATTTCAAAGATTTTACTGAGTTACAGTTCATATAAGGAAATCAGTCAATTTAAATAAATAAATTAGGTCCTTATCTATGGATTTCACATGACTGGGAATACAGATATGCATCTGTTGGTCACAGATACCTTTAAAAAAAAGGTAGGGACGTGGATCAGAAAACCAGTCAGTATCTGGTGTGACCACCATTTACCTCATGCAGCACGACACATCTCCTTTGCATAGAGTTGATCAGGCTGTTGATTGTGGCCTGTGGAATGTTGTCCCACTCCTCTTCGATGGATGTGCGAAGTTGCTGGATATTGGCGGGAACTGGAACACGCAGTCGTACACATCGATCCAGAGCATCCCAAACTTGCTCAATGGTTGACGTGTCTGAGTATGCAGGCCATAGAAGAACTGGGAAGTGTTCAGCTTCCAGGAATTGTGTACAGATCCTTGCAATATGGGACCGTGTATTATCATGCTGAAACATGAGGTGATGGCAGCGGATGAATGGCATGACAATGGGCCTCAGGATCTCGTCACGGTATCTCTGTGCATTTAAATTGCCATCTATAAAATGCAACTGTGTTCATTTTCCGTAGCTTATTCCTGCCCATACCATAACCCCACCAGCAAACCACTCGCCCACATGACGCCATACACGCTGTCTGCCATCTGCCCGGTACAGTTCAAACCGGGATTCATCTGTGAAGAGCACACTTCTCCAGCATCCCAGTGGCCATCGAAGTTGGTTACGACGCCGAACTGCACTCAGGTCAAGATCCTGGTAAGGACGACGAGCATGCAGATGAGCTTCTCCGAGACGGTTTCTGACAGTTTGTGCAGAAATTATTAGGTTGTGCAAACCCACAGTTTCATCAGCTGTCCGGGTGGCTGGTCTCAGGCTTTAGAAAGTATTGTGAGCGTTCCTTCCCACGCATCTTGTATCTGCCGTCCCCTCCCTGTGCTGTGTTGCCACATCACAACAATATTAATGGCTGATTAAAGCCAGATGATGAGGGATTTTTTCACTCCCAGAGGGATGGTGATCTAACAAAACTATGCAAACATTAAAAGAGGCTGTACACATATTTCACAAAGGCTTCCAGATGTTGGCCAATGCCAACCAACAAAATATATATACACGCACACACACACACACACAAAAAGAAAAAAGACAAAGGAGAAAGGGGGAAGAAAAAAGAAAAAGAAAAACTAAAAGGCTGGCTAAGCAAAAACTTTCAACGTAAACTTTCAACTAATTAAAATCAGCAGTGACTGCTCCAGAAATAAATTGAAGCCAGAAGTTTCGGCCTGAGCCAAGTTTGAAGCTCAGCCCCTTTGTGTCTTTTTTGTGTGTGTCTTATGGGAAATCCAACTGCTCTGCTGTGTGCTTACAGCCGGGAGGCCCGGGGATGTTGGCTGCATTTATTTGCTTTTCAGTTTCAGCCTCAGGTCTCAACTAACTCTCCCTGGTTCCCTATCAGTTTACCCATAGAAATAGAATGACTAGAATTGGCATCCAAATGCAAGTCAATCGGTCTGTAATGGGTGGATCTGTGATTCTATTTCTATGAGAAAACACAGACACAGCGGGAGAGCTGAACGTTTGATGGTTCTAAAAAGATCAAATACATACTGTAACTTATCAGTTCTGTAAAAATGTAACCTATATAGGGTCAAATCTTTTCTGAATAGTGTCTTGATCTCGCTTGTAGAAGATCAGACAACACCAAAACATACAACAGTTTGCCTGTTATGGGTAAATAAGAAAAACAAAACTCCCAAATAAAATATTATTCCCATCTGCACTCTCATTTATTTTGTCCCCTTGGCCAGAAGAAAACATATTGATGTCGTCCTATAGTCCATGTTTGTGCAAAGTTCACCTGACCAAGCGAAAAAGCTTGCTTCAAAGCAGTCAGCCTTATAGTTTTATAAGTGACAGAATCTCAGCTGACCCCCACCAAGCGTAGTAACCAAACCAGGCCACTAGTTGGCCCATTCTACACCAACCAATCTCCCTATTATTGATGCAGCATGCTGAAATCCCTCTCCACAGGACTCAAAAGGAAAGTATTTCCTGATACAATAGACAAGAACACAATTAAATTACCCAGGCATACTGAACGTATGTCCCTTTGAGGGACCCCACCTAGTCTCAAACAATAAATAAAGTTTACGCAGTCAGGTACTGTAGTTCTAACAATCAAATGTTGTGATTTAGTCCAGTCTTAAAACTGGACCTTAATAAGCACAACACAATCAGTTAGTCAATATTCATAGCATCAAAATAAAAATACATGAGATAGAGATATGAAAATTGCATTACATACATTTCTCTGACCTACAAGTCCAAGTGAAGCATCTTATTGTTGCCATCTTATTGTGCACTCTTAGAAAAAAAGGTGCTATCTAGAACTTAAAAGGATTCTTCGGCTGTCTCCATAAGAGGACCATTTGAAGAACCCTTTTTGATTCCAAGTTGAACCCTTTTCATTCCAGGTAGAATGCTTTTGTGTTCCATGTAGAGTGCTTTCTACAGAGGGTTCTACATGGAACCCAAAAGGGTTCTGCCTGGAACTAAAAATAGTTCTACCTGGAACCAAAAAGGGTTATCCTATGGGGACAGCTGAAGAACCCTTTTGGAGCCAAAGGATGAGAATAAGAAGCTAAACCAAGAAGAGGGTTGACCCGAGCCGGAGGTCATAGTATTCACTGTTGTCATTTTTAAAAGGATTATTATCTCATACCCAGCAATGAAAAGCCACTGTATCTGTTTTGAATCTGTTGAATCGTTCTTTTCTCCTCAATGAGAGCTGTGCAACCCTTGCCAACCAGGCCTAGCGATCTTGGGAGCCTTTTCAATAAAGTACAGAAAAGTTTTGTCCCAAATGGCACCTTATTCCCTATATAGTGCAGTGTGCACTACATTTGGCATAGGGCTCTGGTCAAAAGTAGTGCACTATGTTGGGAATAGGGTGACATTTGGTATGCAGACAGAGGCTAAAAGAACACACAGGGGTCAGTGTGTGTCCCCAGTGGCCATCACAAGCTGGGCACAGAGAGAAGGAGGAGGGGGGTGGAGAATGAAGGGGATTTCTGCATCTTATTTTCGCCTGCTTAGGTCATCACAATCTTGTCATTGTGGGCTGATGTGGGATGATGGAAGGTCAGGCTAGAGAACACAACACAAAGCTCATCATGCCACAGCACTCATTGTGCTCTGTGTTACTTCGCTCCCTCAATATCACTGAATATCACCAGCAAGTAGTAAGTATGCAACTTGTTATGTCCCCAAGAGCGCACACATGTGAGAAGTTAAATACATACACAATTCAAAAGAAGACTTGTTCAACTCTTACTAAGTTCTGTAGCGTGAATGTCAATTAGTTTTTAGTTGGTGCTATAGCCCGGGATTAATTTTCTTCATAACATGTGAGAAGTTCACCATTACCTCTATAGTACTTACATGACCTCTGTGCTCCTCCTCAACCTACATTTTATCTATGTATTGTGTCACTTTGCTTCGTCAAAATAACTTGTAAGTAGTAAATGTGCAACTTTTTAAGTCCTCTAGAGGACACACTGAAAATGGGCGAAGTGAGAAGTTTCCCTACTTCTCGATATACAGTGCCTACATGAGCTCCGAACTCCTCCTCAATCTATGCTTCAATCTTGTATTCCCTGAGGAGAAGTGCCCCTGTTTGCATGCAGCATGGATAATTGAGCCTTAGAATCGATTTCCTGTTTGGAAATTTCCATTACAGATGGCAGCAGTAAAAAAAATGTATGTGGTCACATTGCATCAAAGTTCTATTGCATCTTTTCATCATTACTGACACTCTGGTTCTAATTAACTCTTTTTTTTTTTTTTGATTCAAAGTTACACACATTGATGTAATGATCAAGCCGGGTTTGAGCAAAATGTTTCATATGTTTTTATGTAATGAAATAAAATAACCCTAATGTTTGTGAGTTGTTGTTGTAGCTTATTGACTTCATAATAAAATAATTTCAGAAATGGTTGTGGGAAATTGTTTGAGACAAATGTTAGAGTTAATTTAGTTTACTTCAGATTCTCTTAATAGTGGCAACACTGAACATGAGAGTAAACAATATGTGCTTTCAAGTGAAATTATATTCTAAACATTCAAAATCTGCTGATAATAAATAACAGGAATAGCTAAAGAACTGTCAAGTGTCAGAAATATATTGTTCACCAGATTGGATGACTTGGATCATTCAGTCATTTCAATTTTATTATGTGCCTTCAGATGTTCTTAGGTCTTTTCCTACTATTGATTGAGTTTAGGTGACTGTCACGACATCATTTAGTTGGACAGTACCTAGGTCGAGCACGTATGTTACATGAGGTAAAACTACTGGTTTAATAAATCACATATAGCCTAGCTACAGTGAATAAATTTTTTGGATTAAAACAAATCAACAGAAAGAAAGAAAGAAAGAAAGAAAGAAAGAAAGAAAGAAAGAAAGAAAGAAAGAAAGAAAGAAAGAAAGAAAGAAAGAAAGAAAGAAAGAAAGAAATGACAGTTATTGACTTATTTATTTTTTAATTAGGCTATTCCGTCACATATATGATATTGAGAAAATTACACCGAAGTCACTTTTCCACTGAAGAATGGACAAGAAAACTAAAAGTCGCATTTCATAAATAGAAGTTTTGAGCGTCTGTTTTACACGACCAGAACCTCCCTTGAATAAACATTTGATCCCCCTCCCCCTTCACAACTTCACCAGATTGAAGAAACAATGGACACTGAACACTTAAAAGTGAATACGGAGTGAGTAAGCGAATAAAAAAATACTTACAGAAAGACAGAAGAACAATATTCACTGCCGAGAATCTCCAGCACCCCATAATATTAACATACAAATGTAAACCTGATTAAAACGTCGTGGTCGCGCTGTATCTGTCAATGTATTTGGGAACGTGAGTAGTAAGATAGACGTTCATTTAGCTTATTGAAGTCGTATTCAGTGAAACAACTGGTTGGGCTCGGGGCTTTTGGCTGGAGTTCCGTGTAGGCGGATCCAGATGTTTTTCATCCAGCTGTGTTAAGGGACCCGCCCAGGAACTGGACTTCATTAATCGGATCCTAAACCCCGTAGAATGTGGGGTGACAGGGTGACATGAGATGTGTAGTAGGATCATAGTAGATTATATTAAATAATACTAATAACACTAATAATAATAATACTAATTATAGCTCAGAATAGGCCCTAAGCATTCTTGAAAATGGAGGGTCTAATTGTCTCCAATTGTAGGCTATAACCTAGTAGGCCTATTTATATCTGCCAAGTGTGATTTGTGCTGTGTGTAGTTTATTGTGTATTTATTGTCTTATCGAATGCCACAACCGACATTTATTCCAGGAAAAAGTTATTTTATTCTATTCACTTTGAGCTAGCAATAACAGCCTAATTTACACTTTCACTGTGCGTTATAATGCAACATATTGTTATTTTGGTAACACCTACCTATCCTTACCTAACCATTTTATCTAACGGTATATTTGACTATGGACACAGGGCAGGGCAGACAGCAGCTGATCTTTCTCATGACACTCAGGTGATTAGAGGTTGGGAAAAGAAAAGGGTTAAAGTGCGCATGCGAGTTTCTGCCTTTCTGCTGCATTGCTAACAAGGCAAAACTCAGGAAGAGATGATGGCAGTCTCGGGACCCGAGGAAATAGCGGTGATCGGGAACACCGACCTCACCTCCGCAGAACTAGAGAACAACATTAAAAACACGGTATAGCTTCAAACCTATTCTTATTGTCAAAAAATTGAGGCATTTGGATTTGGCGATTAGCAAAGCTACGTACTGAGCCTGTTGAATGAGTTGGGTTTTCTAGCTACTGTAGGCTTTATCAATCCACGGAGCTTTGCGAGAGAGCCCCACTGTCACTGAGTCAGTAGCAGCTAGCAGGCTGTGCAGGAAAATACAGCTAAAAGTTAAATCATTGTAAAGTCGACGCAGAGTAAAGTTAGCTAGATTGTTCTCATTAACATGGTTGACTTGATCATTTTACCAGGAGCTAGCTTGCTAGCACACAACTTTGTTCTGCTACAAAGTTAAGGGACTTTGCTAACGTTACAGTACTTGTTTTAATCTAGGACCAGCTTTAGCTACCAATATTGATGCCCCTTATTGCATGTATACAACATCAAATTATACTGCATTGTTGTTGTTACCATGTTATGACTTGTGCAATATCCTCTTCTAGATGGTTGAGATTGAAAAAGGGACGAGTCTTCTAAGAAAGATGGAGATCAGCGTTGGAGAGGCAGAGAAAAGGACTGGGAAGAATACAGTCAACATGCTGGAGATATACACTGTTTACCTAATTGAGACACGGTAAATATTTATGTCTCATCAGCTCTGAATCATCTGTGTGAATGATCTCAAACTATTGTTATAGCCTACATCTTCCAGCGCAACCATTTTGTGACACCACCATGAACAGCTTCTTCCACAATCACACCTCCACCTCCTTGCACACGTTCAGTCATTACAGGTGGTCTGACTCTAACAATGATGATTCTAACATCTGACCGTTTTAGAGAAGTGACTTGGGTACACTCACTTCATTGTGAAGATGCGTTCTAAAGGTTTTGTTTATTCACAAACTGCACATCACACCAGCTCTCTTACTTACTTTTAGCTAGCTATACTATTAACTGGTTTCATGTCCGGCCACAGAGAGTAGTATTTTTTTGTTGGTCAAGTCTTTAAAAGGAACCATATGTTTTTATTCTGCTTGGAGCAGGGCATGCTATTCCTCATGCACACACATGCACGCGCGCGCACACACACTGGGCCTTTGTTTACCAGTGAGCCATTGAGAGGGGAGTGTGGTGTAACCAGGCCCTCAGTGCAGTTAGACTGGAGAATGCCCCCCAGCCACTGATGGATACCTCCTCTCCTTTGCCTCCTCTCCTTCCTCTTCCTGCTTCTCTGTTCCTCTCTCTTTCTTTCTTCCTGTCCTCTCCTCCTCTCTCTGCTTTGTGGTCCCAGTGTGGATTATTAGTGGAGACAGACCATTATGGGCTCTCATTTCCTCCCTTGAGTCTTTGCTGCTGGATCCACATCATATTTATAAAGTCGCTATCTTTCTCTGTCTTTCTCTCTGTCAGTAGTCTCTCTCCTCTTGCTTTATATATACGTTTTAGCATTGGAGTTCATAGAATGTTGGATAATTCTGTACTTGGTCCCTTTGAAATATGTCTTATTGAGACATGTATCAGATATTTACTTGGAACTCTTATTTAAGTGCAGTTGTATGATTTTAGTCTTTTCCTCTCTTCTGACAGGCCGGTTGATGCTGTGACAGAAGGTATAACCCCAGCCCCAGACTCCTTATGGAGGAGATACAGCGAGTTTGAGCTTCTTAGAAACTACCTGTTGGTCACCTATCCCTTTGTTGTTGTTGCCCCATTACCTGAGAAGAGGGTACGTGAGAACAAGGAGGATGCCTTGGATGAAATTAGTGCAGTATAGTTTAGGAAGTGATATTTGTAGCATGATGTACTTACTACAGTACCCATAATGCTCTGTACAGCATCCAGTTTTAACTTAGTAAAGACATTCCTGAAGCTAACATAATGGTGTTCCGTCTCCTTATCAACATAATAGTAATTCTTTGTCTGTTTCTCTCAGGCAGAGATTGTGTGGCACAAGCTGTCAGCGGACAACATGGACCCAGACTTTGTGGAGAGAAGGAGGGTCGGACTGGAGAACTTCCTGCTCCGAGTAGCCTCCCACCCAGTTCTTTGCAACGACAAGATCTTCTACATCTTCCTCACTGAGGTTAGTTAGCCTCTTTGTAGCCAAGCTACTATACACCATAACGGGGTGAATCGAGCGTGATTCCAATCTGTTTGTGCTGTCTTGCTAACTCCCATATGTGTGACAAGAACCATAGGAGTAGGCAAGACGGCACAAACAGATCTGGGATCAAGCTCAAGTGATCCCCAATCGTTAGCAAAACCCACATTCTTCCCTCTCAAGACTAAAACAGTACCAGTAGCTAGTCAGATGTGCTTTTCATAGGTTTTGACAGGATATACCCTTGACAGAAAAGAGAGATCACAGACGAGGACCATTTCCTTACTCAGTTTCTTTGTAGCTCTGAGAATTGTTGTGGAAATAATGTCTTATGAAGTAGGCCTAAAGCTCAACTCTTTACTGACAAGAATTGTGTGAGTGTTGCTGTAGTTGAAAGGATCACCTTTGACCTTTGAGTTGATAGTGTGACAGTGTACCCCCAGTGCCCCCATTCATCAGGCTCTCCTATCTCTGATGGTCTTTGTCAAAGTCACACGGCATCCTCTCTCTGTCCCACAGGAAAAAGGATGGAAGGAAATGGTGTACGAGACAGGATTTCAAGCAAAGGTACTCCATCACAGTGGTGCAATAAAGTATATGTTTGTAAAGTTTGTAATCCGTGTAAACAAATGCATAAAGTGCATGTGTATATTTAGGACTTAGGATTTATTTTAAACAACTCTTAATTTTAATACTTATTCTGATATGTTTTAGGTCTCAAAGGTAAAGTGTTGTCTAAAATGATGCAGGTCCTCAATAACAATCTCTGATTTAACAAAAGTGTGGGGGAAAAAAGTGTTTATGTAATTTATCGGTCTGTTTTTTTACAGGCTGATTCCAGGTTGAAAGCTATGAATGCAGCATTCAGGGTGAAGAATCCAGACAAGTAGGCCATAGAAATGATCCGTCCCAAATTGCACCCTAACCCTACTGTATATAGTTCACTGAACTCTGGTCAAAAGTAGTACACTTTATAGGGAATATGGTGCCATTTGGGATGCAGCCATTGTTTTCTTGTCACTGTTTTCTTTTGTGTGAAGTCAACCATACACTTCCATCTTCATGTGTTGTAACTTCATTTAATGAGTCTGTCTCTACTATTCATCCCATTGCCCTGTATTTGATGTACTTCCATACTTGGTTCTGGGACTGTGTGGGAAGTAGAGTTGGATCAGGTCAATGTAAGTTCGAACATTGACTCTTGTCTTGTTTATCTGTCTTGCTGGAAAGAAAGTGTTGATTTAAGTAGTGATTGGGTGAATTCTTGCTCTTCTCTGGCCCTGGCTTCTGCAGACGGTTTACAGAGCTGAAACATTACAGCGACGAGCTACAGACTGTAGTCTCCCAGCTGCTGAGAGTACGGGCAGTGAGTACAGGGAGCTGTCGGCATATTCACACATCTTACTGACTAGACTGGCTACCAGACCTGGGTTCAAATACTATTTGAAATCTTTCAAATACTTTGAGTGTTTGGTCTAGCCTGCCATTTTTTGAAACTATTATATTGTTCCACTGAGCCAGGCAAGCGAAATCAAGCGAATAGTATTTGAACCCAGGTTTGTTAACTATACTCCCATACTGTCAGCTGTAACATACATTTAACATTTTAGTCATTTAGCAGACACTCTTATCCAGAGCGACTTACAGTTAGTGAGTGCATACATTTTCATACTGGCCCCCCGTGGAAAACGAACACACAACCCTGGCGTTGCAAGCGCCATGCTCTACCAACTGAGCTACAGACTAGACATACAGTGAGCATTAATACACCTGAGCTGGCCTGGAAGTTGACATACATTAGAAGGATAAAACATACAGCTGCTCTGTCTGATAAAAGTGGATTTGCTGCTGCTGTAACACACACACAACTTAATGACTAGACTAGGACTAGACATACAGCTGGTTATAACACACAGGCTGGCCACACTCAGCATATTCACATTTACTAGACTAGACTGACTACACTAGCACACTGACAGCTGTAACATACAACTTAGGCTGTGCATCCCAAAATGCCGCCTTATTCCCTACACAATACAGAAATTCACACAAAATAGAACATAAAAATAGAAGCAGTGGTATCAAAGAAACTATGCGAAATCTTTCTCCACTCAGAGGGTAGCAGATCGACTGTATGGGGTGTACAAAGTGCATGGAAACTATGGACGAATCTTCAGGTAAGAGAAGTGCTGTGTTTGGAAGAAAGGGTGATGTGTATTGCTGCTGCACAATGAACTATGTAATGACTTAATTAGTGTCAAATACATATTTGTTTTATGTGAAATATCTGCTCTGTGCTTGTTGGACAGTGAGTGGAGTGCCATAGAGAAAGAGATGGGAGATGGACTACAAAGTGCTGGCCATCACATGGATGCGTAAGTGTTTGTTTTTTAATGACACACATAGATGTAACCACACAATAATCTCCCATATAAATCCATAACAACTTTATTGGATTACAACAGGATTGTATTGCAAGTCTTTTCCTCCTCCTATCCCCTGGACATCAGTTTCTTTCCCTGTCAGCGGATGCATCTGAAATGGCACCCTACTCTGTATGGGCCCTGGTCAAAGGTAGTTCACTAAATAGTGAATAGGGCGCCCTTTCAGACGCAGCCAGTCTCTCTCGTTATCCTCTGAGACCTCATACAAGCTCATTGAAGGAGCTGATATAGCGATGTGTTGCACAACCCCCCCCCTTCCCCCCAGCAATGGTCTACATATTACATTGTTTCCCCTAGTTAAGCTATACAACACATTTGCCGTGTTTGATTTGAAAGCAGTTCAGGTTTCAAGCACACGGTCTGGTGTAGCAGGTAGTCGACCATGGGGGAATGGGGAGACTCGTGTTGTGAAGGTTATGGGTTTTAATTTCAACTTGGGTGCTGTGTATAGTTCTCTTTGAGTATCACAAGTGGTCTTGGCCCTGTCCTTGGTGTAGCAACTGGCACACACACACACACACACACACACACACACCTTGGTGTGGTAACATGATTAGCCCCTACTCTGTCACTGATGGTTTCCAGATTGCAAGGCTCAACTCTAGAGGTCAGGGGTCACAGAGCTGGGACAGCTGAGGCGTACCAAGGAAAGGCAGCATTTCTGTCAACGGATTGATTCCCAAATGGCACCCTATTCCCTATTTAGTGCACTACTTTTGATGGTCAAAGGTAGTGCACTTTATAAGGAATAGGGTGCCACTTGGGACGCAGACAACCTTTTAATCCCCTGGTAATGGTCATAGTGAAGACGGATCATATTTCTCAGCTAGTCTCACCCATTGTCAGGTGTCTGTCAGAGCTATAACACTGATATTTGAGTCTCACTTCTGAGAGGGTGTAATGGAATATAGCAGATGTATTCTTGTAGACTCCTCTTCCTCTTTTCTGCAGGTAGGGCTGGGCGGTATACCGTATTTAAGCAATAAGGCACGAGGGGGTGTGGTATATGGCCAATATACCACGGCTAAGGGCTGTTCTTACGCATGACGCAACGCGGAGTGCCTGGATACAGCCCTTAGCCGTGATATATTGGCCATATACCACAAACTCTTGAGGTGCCTTATTGCAATTATAAACTGGTTACCAATGTAATTAGAGCAGTAACAATTATTTTTGTGTCATACCCGTGGTATACGGTCTGATATACCACGTCTGTCAGCCAATCAGCATTCAGGGTTTTAACCACCCAGTTTATAATTTACTATATACACCGGTATTGATGCACGGACCGGTTTGGGTTTTAATTTTACCTTCTGTAATGATATTTCAATGTTTGGTTTGTTAAATGTGATACACAACTCCGTTTTGTTCTTGTTTTCCCAGAAAAAGGGCAGTTTTCTGGGAAAACAAGCAGTATTTTAATCTTCTTGTATGGTTAAAGGTAAAATTTGGAGTAATGGCATATCCCATCCCTGCATTGAGGTACGTTTTCCGGCTCATATCTCGCGCCGGTTCCATGGTGTCTTAATGTAACCATGATTTCATTCCGACCCCAGTACAGCTCAGTGGAAACAAGCGTAATGGTAGGGTCGGTATCTTCTGGCAATCTGGCTAGCTAGCTTGCTAAATGTACTAAGAGTCAGAGCAAACATAGCTATCTAATACAGTCTGGTACCAGTGCTGGTGTAGGCCTAGATAAGCATGTTGTTTGTGCAACAGTATCTTCTAAATCAGAGAGGAATAGACAGGTTGGTTGTTTAGCAAGGGGAAAAATAATCGGGGTTGGCTTAGATTGTTGACAACATGTAAACTATATTTAGTCTCCAATATTTATTGAAAACATAAATACATTTGCACAATGAAAATACATGTCTCTGAAATACATCGTTACAGTTGTTGGTTGTTAGCTAGCTAGTGAATTTTAGCCATATTAGCATAGACATGACAGTCAAAACACCTCAACAAGACATGGTATCTGTCACACTCTGGCTCTGGGACTGTGTAGTTAGAGTCAGGGTGTATTTCATTTGGTGGTGTTGGGTATGGGTGCGTTTCATTTGTTTGTGTTTTTGGGGTATTGGTCTTGTGACTCCCAATCGGAGGTAACGAGTGTCAGCTGTCGGCTCGTTATCTCTGATTGGGAGCCATATTTAAAGTGTGTGTTTTCACCTTGTGTTTGTGGGTTTTTGTTCCTTTGTTCCAGGTTCAGTATTAGTCACTGTAGGACTTCACGATCGTATTTTGTTTTGTAGTTACGTGCTTTCTTTAAATAAAGTCATCATGTTCACTCCACGCGCTGCGTATTGGTCCGCTTCTTCAGACGATCGTGACAGAAAAACCCACCATCAAAGGACCAAGCAGCGTGTCAAGCGGCAACAGGACCCAGCTCCAAAGGCTTCCTGGACATGGGAGGAGATTTTGGACGGAAAGGGGTCCTGGACTTGGGAGGAGATCCTGGATGGGATGGATCGCCGTCCATGGAGCGAAACGGTGGAGAGGCGACGGCGAGAGGAGCAACGGCGTCAGCAGGGCCATCGTCGGAAGGTCGAGAGGCAACCCCAAAAAGTTTTTTGGGGGGGGCACATGGCTTGGGCGGCTGGGCAGCGGGAGGCTGCCACAGGACTGACGGAGGCAGAGAAGGGGCGAATTCAAGAGGCAACCAGGTTACGGGGGTCACTGGCCAAAGTAGGGAAAGGAGATGTAGGGGCACGGCGAGTGGCACTGGGGTGTATTACCAGTCCGGTCCGGCCCGTTCCAGTTCCCAGGGTAGAGCCAGTGGTGTGTGCCTCCAGTACGGTCCGGCCTGTTACGACCCCTCGCACCAAGGATACGGTGCGCTTCGCCAGCCCGGCCCGGCCTGTTCCGGCCACTCGCACCAGGGATACGGTGCGCTTCGCCAGCCCAGCCCGGCCTGTTCCGGCCACTCGCACCAGGGATACGGTGCGCTTCGCCAGCCCAGCCCGGCCTGTTCCGGCCACTCGCACCAGGGATACGGTGCGCTTCGCCAGCCCGGCCCGGCCTGTTCTGGCCACTCGCACCAGGGATACGGTGCGCGTCGCCAGCCCTTTCCCACCAGTGCCTACACCACGCCCCAAGCCTCCTGTGTGTCTCCCGAGTCCTGTGCGTCCTGTTGCTGCTCTCCGCACTAGGCTTAATGTGAGTCCCCAGGGTCCAGCATGCCCTGTTCCGGATCTCCGCACTAGCCCTTATGTGCGTTCCCAGGGTCCAGCCCGGCCTGTTCCGGCCACTCGCACCAGGGATACGGTGCGCTTCGCCAGCCCGGCCCGGCCTGTTCTGGCCACTCGCACCAGGGATACGGTGCGCGTCGCCAGCCCTTTCCCACCAGTGCCTACACCACGCCCCAAGCCTCCTGTGTGTCTCCCGAGTCCTGTGCGTCCTGTTGCTGCTCTCCGCACTAGGCTTAATGTGAGTCCCCAGGGTCCAGCATGCCCTGTTCCGGATCTCCGCACTAGCCCTTATGTGCGTTCCCAGGGTCCAGCATGCCCTGTTGCTTCTCCCCGCACTAGCCCTGAGATGCGTGTCCTCAGCCCGGTACCTCCAGTTCCGGCACCACGCATCAGGCCTACGGTGCGTCCCCAGGGCCAAGCATGCCCTGTTGCTGCTTCCCGCACTAGCCCTGAGATGCGTGTCCTCAGCCGGGTACCTCCAGTTCCGGCACTACGTTCCAGGCCTATAGGGCGTCTCGGCCGGCCTGAACTGCCCGTCTGCCCAACGCCGTCTGAACTGTCCGTATGCCAAGCGCTGCATGAACTGCCCGTCTGCCCAACGCCGTCTGAACTGTCCGTTTGCCAAGCACTGCCTGAACTGCCCGTCTGCCCAACGCCGTCTGAACTGTCCGTATGCCAAGCGCTGCATGAACTGCCCGTCTGCCCAACGCCGTCTGAACTGTCCGTCTGCCAAGCACTGCATGAACTGCCCGTCTGCCCAACGCCGTCTGAACTGTCCGTCTGCCAAGCACTGCCTGAACTGCCCGTCTGCCCAACGCCGTCTGAACTGTCCGTATGCCAAGCGCTGCATGAACGGCCCGTATGTACTGAGCCTGCTAAGCCGCCCGTCTGCCATGAGCCTTCAGAGCCGTCCGCCAGACCGGAGCCGCTAAAGCCTTCCGCCAGACAGGAGCCGCTAAAGCCTTCCGCCAGACAGGATCAGCCAGAGCCTTCCGCCAGACATGATCAGCCAGAGCCTCCCGCCAGACAGGATCAGCCAGAGCCTTCCGCCAGACAGGATCAGCCAGAGCCTTCCGCCAGACAGGATCAGCCAGAGCCTTCCGCCAGACAGGATCAGCCAGAGCCTACCGCCAGACAAGATCAGCCAGAGCCTTCCGCCAGACGGGATCAGCCAGAGCCTTCCGCCAGACAGGATCAGCTAGAGCCTTCCGCCAGACGGGATCAGCCAGAGCCTTCCGCCAGACAGGATCAGCCAGAGTCTTCCGCCCGACAGGATCAGCCAGAGCCTTCCGCCAGACAGGATCAGCCAGAGCCTTCTGCCAGACAGGATCAGCCAGAGCCTTCTGCCAGACAGGATCAGCCAGATCCGTCAGCTAGCCATGAGCAGCCAGATCCGTCAGCCAGCCATGAGCAGCCAGATCCGTCAGCCAGCCATGAGCAGCCAGATCCGTCAGCCAGCCATGAGCAGCCAGATCCGTCAGCCAGCCATGAGCAGCCAGATCTGTCAGCTAGCCATGAGCAGCCAGATCCGTCAGCCAGCCATGAGCAGCCAGATCCGTCAGCCAGCCATGAGCAGCCAGATCCGTCAGCCAGCCATGAGCAGCCAGATCCGTCAGCCAGCCATGAGCAGCCAGATCCGTCAGCCAGCCATGAGCAGCCAGATCCGTCAGCCAGCCATGAGCAGCCAGATCCGTCAGCCAGCCTGAGCCGTCCAGCCGGATCCGCCAGAGCCGTCCAGCCG